TTGAGTCGGTTGTGCGAAACTGCTGCTGCTGCTGCGGCAACGTTAAGTGAGAACAAAAAGATGTCGAAGGTGTTTATTTTGCGTCCATGGACCATGAAACTCAAATAAATCACGGGAAAATGTCATCTTGACTTTTAATCAATTTCACATCCATTCTTCAATTTATTTTCGCCCTGTGATTTATGTATGCACAGTGAGAATCTAAACTCGGTGGATTGTGTGCGATGTAGAAAACTTAATTAAAATGAACGAGCCGAAACTTTCATTGTATAACATAAACCCGAAGACATTTCCTTTTGAATAACACCATGATGTTCGATATCTATTCGAATCGACACTTACCGAATTCTAAATCGACGAGGAAGCATCTTGATTTTCGCCAAATGCTCTTGCATTTTACAGTTAAATTATGCACATACATTATTCAGTTGATTTTGGTATTCAGCGCAACAAACATAGCTCCCGTAGATGCTCGACAAACTCGATATAAACACGATTGGGTGTGATGCTGACTGCTTTTGCAACTCTGCGTTTAAGTTGCACGCAAATTTTGAAAAACAATTAAAAGCATTAGAAATGTATATATCATGTTCGTTCAATCATATTGACTGACTGGCTGATTGACAGAATTCCGGAAGAGTGTTGACATCAAATCAAATCATTTCAAGAATTTCATTCTGTTATTCTGTCACACCGATGCGAGTGAATGAAAGCATCTTTATCGATTTAATTAATGTCATTGCATTCAATCGTCTCGCATTTTATTACGCAATGCATTTTGATGTATTCCGCTTGCATTGACGAACCTTGCAACCACGCATGCACACACTCGGAGCTGTGTGTCGAACTAAATAATTTCACAAGTCGATAAATTAATCAAACACCAGTTCGAGGTAAAATGATGCGATGCAAGATGCACATTCTCAATTTAGTACACAAACGCATGCAGGGAATTACTGCACAATCAGGAGAGTAAAAATGCTTTAACTTGAAAGTTCCATCTCATGAACACCGAACAACGTTCAATGTCTTTTTCACTTCGACTCGCCGGACCAAATTGTGTTAATCAGTCTTTTCGTTAATTTCTATCGAATACAAGTATTTCAATCAACATGTAGTAGTCAAAAACATGTACACGATTGTGGGATGAACCAGAATGTGTATAAGGTGTTTCTATTCTCTTCTCTTCTCTTCTCATTCTTCTTTGTGCTGTCGTTCGGTTTAATCTCTAATTTTCATCGCAATGTGCACCATTTATAAGCATAATTGCTATTACAGATACGTTTTTTTTGTCGGTGCCCATCGATTTCATGGCCATTGCCGATGGAATGTGTTGAAAATGTCGTGAACCACAACGATCAGCGCTTCATCTCAATCTGACTGCATTAAATATTTACTTTAAACAAGTCAATGGTGGAGTAATAACAAACTGGAATTTCGGTTAAAAAGAAAAAAAGATATGATAAATTGTGATGTTTGGAAGAATGGAAACAAAATTGAACGTTTCGAATGAGAAATCATTGTAAATGATAAATGCGATAAGCCGATAAAAATGTGAACTGGATGTGGTTTCATGTGGAGGTGAAAAAATGCATTCTCACCTTCATGTGAAAAAAAATGCATTTTTGAATGGAAGAAACAATTGACTTTGACTAATAAAGGATAATTCTTTGGACGGTGAATGGGATGGAATGTATTGGACATTGATTTCTTTTGTATCAAGTAATTTAATAAATCGGCTGATGAGCAGCACCATTCAATCCATTCTATTGTCTAATATTCTATCCTCTGGTAAATATCTGATTACATAAGATTCATAGTTATAACTCATCAAACTGTAAACCGAACAAGTGCCGAGGTAAGATATCCAAGGGAGAAAAAAATATTGTTTTCGTTTAATTGTCCAATTTCAATGTGAAAATTGCATAAACGCCGTCATTATGATTGAAATGCTTAGTGACAATGAGTGTTGGACGTAATTTGCCATCATAATTACGAAATTGCACACGACAACAACATCATGATGATTGATTACTTGCCCGGTCGTTCAATAGCCACGTACAATCTTAAAGAACGTTTTCTTTGCGATGAATTATTATTTGTTGAAATTATACCGCTTTTCTGGTCATTCGTGGCACAGCCCACGTGTAATGGAATGTGACAGACAGCAAAATGCAAACCGAAAACAGCTGACAAAAATCGCACATTATGAATATTAATTGAACACTAAATCATAATATAACCAACGAAGCAATTTCACGAATGTATTTCGGAGCATATAGAGAGCATGAGGTTTACGAACCAGCAGAAAAGAGCGCAGTCGGTACAGATGAAACACAGCTAACGAAAAAGAAAAATAACCTGTTCACAAGTACGCGTTTCGAGACATTGAAATGCGTTCAGCTAAAGCAAATAAATGATTGCGTGCATATGATTACACCTTAAGGCACATAAACGATACACCGAGCATATGGTACGCAATAATAATAACATATCGTATGAATGACATCATAAAACAACATCAAATTGAACTGCACCATGTTTCGCCCAAGCAATTCATACATACTATATTCATGATAAATGCGACTGTGTTCGTCTTCATTTAGTTGGATGATTTGTGTTATCAAATCCAAAAAGTACGGGTAATAAAGAGGCATGCATTTAATTGATTTTATGCAGGAGAAACAAAAAAAAGCGGTTTTACACATCAAAGTATCAAAAAGCAATAATAATTTTATGAAAATATTGCGGCTTTGCAGATGAAAATGTCGGACGGCCATAAAAATTACGCTTGATATTTTTTTCGGAATATTCATTTACTAACTACACGGATCGATTGACTGCATTATATGGTTGGCGGTCGATGAAACTCAAATAACGCGTAGAATGAAAATATGCGGAAAAAAATGGCGACCTTTCATAAATTACCGAATAACATGAACAAACAAATTATAGTATGCAGAAGCATCATGCAAAAAAATGCAATCAGTTTTTATTACGTACATGATGCTGTCAAAATTGTCACAAACCAATTAAGTCATAAATTATTCGCTCCTCTCTTGCATCTCCTTTGGCGTTTTATTTTTCAGTTTGGCCAATATGTATAATTGTTTAAAAAAACCATAAACGAGAGACGCCGGTGCCGAAAAATTCTATTTAAAATTGCTGACAAAAGCGCGAAAACCGAAAGCGCGAGAGAGAGAGAGAGAGAGAGAGAGAGAGAGAGAGAGAGAGAAAACAAAATTCACGAGCATTTATTTTTATTTGATTTTTTTTTTTAGCTCCGAGAATGTTTCGTACCTGTTTGCATTCCGTAGATAGTATATTTAGCTGCACTTGACTAACTTGTTGAAGTAATCTCACGATGGTTCATTGAATTTATGTAAAAATAATTATCGAAGTCATTTCCGAAAATATCACTGATGAAGATTTATAAATAGTGTATACTCATTCAATTCAATTGAGTTGAAAGTCAATGTAATTGGTGAATATATCAATTTAACATAAATAAATGAAAATGTTCATGATCAAGTGCAGTTGCAATGGATTGGGTTTTTGGTAGATTGGCACATTTTCCATAGGCATTCTACCGTATTTTCATTGATATTGTATATCGAAGTGTGGTCTTTAACTGGCCAAACAACAGGAAAATCAAACGTAAAAACAAGAGATGTTCGTGTCCATGCGACTATTGATATTCGACACAGTAGCAATGACAACGGCACATAACAAACACATTTTAAGTGGGTCAGTATGTTGAATGTTTATGCTCTGTTGTGTGTATTTATTTGTTATTTTCCTTTATTTGCACAATATGTTGAACGAAGAATGTGTACTGTGTGCATTGAAACGAAAGCAAACTTGACTTTTGCTCTCATTCTCTCTCTCTCTCTCACACACACACACTCTCATATTTCCATCCACGATCATGCCGTACACATTGGAACATGCGATTCAAACATACAAATTGCATTATTCGATTCGACCCATTTGCGTCATTTTAAAGAAATACCATAATAATATCCTGAATGTAGATACATTGCGTGGATTGCATAAAAGTTGAAAATCGATACCGATTCTGAACGTGGTGTGATGCATCTCCGTGGTTGTTGTTGATTCATTGAATCAAGCGACTTCTACCATGTTGTATAAATCGTAAAGCTGCACGAAAATATGCAACAATATATTTAACCGGTTGGAGTCGATGTGTGTGTGTGTGTGTGGATCATAATTTTTCATCGCATTTCACAAAGCCTAGTAGCACATTGCATTACCGAAAATGCCATTTAGTGCAGTGCTTGTATATCTTGACAAATTCATTAAATAATTTCGTAATGCGATGAAACGATGAATTAATCTACTCGACTCTCTCTACCTCATAAACACACATCAACTGGGGTCGGTCAATAATTTATAACGAATTTGCGCACGGTTTAATGGTGATTTAATTTTGGCGTTTTTCGTTGATACGTCATACGTTTTTGACAGTAGTAGTTCCTTGTGGATACAGATAATTAATTACGTTTACCGACATATACACATCGCTTAAACTCTATGAACTGTACATTACCGAATACGAACGTGTTCACCGGTAATATGTGCCACACATATGGCATAGTGGCAATATTCTATACGTGTTTATATTGAGGTATCGTTTCCTGGATAAACTTTAAACCCTTGATCCATTTAGCGTATTTTTTCATCAGTTTGTAAGCAAATGAGAAGGAACAAACAATTTTTTATTCTAATTTAAGGTTAAAAAAAACGATTCGAAGAAGATTCATTTAATTCATTCATAGATTCCAGAACAAAAACAAACTTTTTTCCATTCAAAACTAAAAAAAAATGATGAAATATTCAAAAGTTGTGTAGAAACACTTCAACATCAGCAATTGAATGGTTTCGATACTGATGTAGGGTTTGAGGTTTGAGCTTTCCAGTGCTTCCAATTGGTTTTATCAGATTCATTGGAAGTTGACACTTTGTGGGCATGTCAAAGTAGCTGTCACAGTGAAAATAGTTGAAGCACAGAAATCATGGTACTGTTACCAAAACCTCCAGCTCCAAAAGATTCAAATATTGAAATCCCACGGAATGTATTTTTTGAGAATGACGCAATGGATCACTTGGCCAAACATTTTGTTGGCAATAACTACAGGTTCGTACAAATGATTAGAGTTGGTAAATTTAAGTTCCATCAAATTGAATAGAAACACATAACCTCAAACTCTAACAAGCAGATAAGATTATAATTCACTTTGTTTTGAATGTTTTAGATATCGTGAGAATATTGTGATACCAAATAATTTAGGGCCGCCAAAAATCAAGACAAACGAAGAGAAAATGATTGAATCCGTTGTGGAAAGCTGCTTTTTCAAATCATTCATGGCCTGTGTGTTGGGTAACACTTTTAAAGGATATTTTTAACTGAAAAGAGATTAATTTTACATTGATATTTGACTGTAGGATACGGTTTGGGAGCTGCAATTGGTCTTTTCAGTTCATCTGTGAATCCGAGTGTCGCAGTTCCAGGTGTGGAAAAACAACAAACCGCCCGAGAAGTATTTCGAGAGATGAGAACGACCACACATGGCTATGCGAAAAACTTCGCATTGATTGGAATGGTTTTCTCAGCCGTTGAATGCACAATTGAATCGGTAACTAACATTTCGTTTCCACTTTATACGGGCACAAAAAGTCCGATTGATTGGAAATTTTGATACATCAAACGTGAATATTATATGCAGTCTCAACGCAAAATGTGCTAATCTTGAATTCAATTTCAGAGTCGAGGTAAATCGGACTGGAGAAATGGAACATATGCAGGCGCTGTAACAGGCGGGCTCATCGGTATGAGAGCAGGAGTTAAGGCTGGTATTATTGGAGCAGCTGGTTTTGCAGCATTTTCAACAGTTATCGATTATTACATGCGACATCGATAAATTAGATCTTTTCTGGAATTGTTTCGTTGACTTCAATATTTAAAATAAGCAAACAAATTGATCTAGTGTAAAAAGTTAATAGAATTAAAAATGTTAGAAACAAAAACAAAAAGTATTTTCCATACTTCCAAAGAAGGAATAGATTGTGCATTTTTAGGACAATGGAAAACACAACTTAAATTCAAGAACCAAACATAAATTTCGAATAGAAAATTGAAATTTCTTAAGTATATTTAGAAGTTGAAAATATTTAAAATTGTTTGAGTCATTAATTTGAAAAGCAATTATAAACTGGTCACATATCAATTTTCATGAACACCTCATGTTATGGGTTCAATGCTTTTCAGTAGTTTTGCAGACATATGTTTCTACTACATATCGCTCCTTCAACGTACGATGCAAACACATTTACATTTTTTTCGAATTTATGACGTCAAGCTTTGGACAAATATTTAAAAAAGATGTGATCCTTTTATCCATTCCCATCTCTTTTGATTCCCATTTGCGTTATGTTGAGTGCAATGGGTGTTTAGAATAACTGGCCCAATTTAGGAAAGGTTTTAGAAGCATTTCTGACTGTGATGATGGGTTCACAGTGCGCTGGCATGTTTCTCAGTCTCGGTTTGAGCATGAAAATAGTAAAAACGGTTCATATTAAATTGCAAGAAATCGTTGATGAAAGTTCGTATAGTCCAAATCTTTTTCAATTGGGATCATAAACATTTTCGAATCGAATAACGATGATGCCACCCCTTACCACTTCGATTTGAATATGCATTCAATCAATGACAATATTGAGCAAAATTTACAAGAGACAAACCCTGCAATGTTTCGTCAAAACTCTGTAAAGTTTAAAGAAAAGCAGTGGAAATACATGTCAAAATTTATAAGTAAGTTGGTTTTTTTCCCAACTTGTTCAACTTTAATCATCAATTTTTCGTCAGAATTTTTAATATGGTGGCGGATATAAACAGTGAATCGATATTTTCACTACTCCCGCCGAATGTCTTGTATGTGGCCTGCAGTTTATACAACACAGAACACGTAAGTATTCAACGATTCCATTGAAACGAAATTATCCATCTTACTTATTAGAACTTTTATTCTATTCCTAAGTCATCGTTTGATTTAGCTTTGCTGGCATTTCATTTTCTCTGCATAATCAGCTAAATGTTTTGGCCTTTTATTATGTGCAATTTTGCAAATATAGTGACCACACGCGTTGCAGACATCGGTGCTACAGCGTACGATTCAAATCGGTTCGTCTATCCACCCGAATTGAGGAAGTATATTACTTTGATGAGGAAGACATTAATCCAAATGATGATGCGAAAAAATCCAAACCAATTAAATTGAATTAACTTGGAAAATGTATGAAAAAATCGAGGGGAAGCTTCGCAATTTAGTGGAACTCCATGTGAAATTATATGAGTAAGTAAATGACCACAAGACACGACGTAAATGACCTTACATAGCTAACGGATTTTGTTTATAATTTTTAAAATGTTCTATTTATTTAAATTTGATCAATGATTTTTTCTCAGAATTTTTAAGATGGTGGCAGATATAAATAGCGGTTCAATATTTTCGTTGCTACTGCCAAATGTCTTATTTTTTGCCTGTTTAACGCCGAAAATGTAAATATTTTGTTCTTATATTTTCAATATTTATTCAAAAATGTTTTGATTATTATTGAAATTTCGCATTTTTTTCCCCAAGTCATCTCTTGGGGCGCCAATGATAATCGGATATCATGTGCTTTGTGTGATTTGCTCGTTCAATTGGCCTGTTCTTTTCTGCTACTTTGCCACTTTTGCTACTTATCGAGTTGCGGCTCTTTCAGAAACCGCATACAATTCGAATTGGTTGGACTGACCACCGCAGCTCCAGAAATATATTATTTTGATCATTGTTCGTTCGCAAGAGTCAGTCCACTTCACTGGATTCGGTTTATTTTGCTGTACATTGGAATTTTTTTGGAAAAGTCAGAAATGTTTATCTCTTTTATGTTGCAAATATTTTTAGTTTTGTTTTCTCTTTTTAGCTCTCCAAGGCTTCTTGTTCCTACTACCTGATTTTCAGGCGCTTTACACAACGCTAGAACGTTTAATATGTTCCGGTCTGAAAAACAATAATGAATTTCAAAAGAAAAACAAACTTTGCATTTTCATAGTGGTATTTCCGAGACTTGGTTATTTCTATGATATATTGATACTATATATTTTATTTCGAAATTTTTTCAGTCCACGACAAAGTTTTGCCGATATTAATTTTTCCGTAGTTCACACACATATATTTCTGCGATAGATTTTATTAATATTATCTCTCACTAAATAATTCAGTTTTTTCTTCTTCAAAAGAACAGCAAATAAATACAATTGATGATATCAGTCAACACAACAAATGTAGATTATCCAACAGTAACTTTATTCAAGACGTCAACATTGCAGTCAATTTTGTATTAAACGATGATAAGTGAAGTTATTAAAATACGATCACGTGACAAATAATGACTCCATAATTTAGTTTTGATTGATTTGGTATACTATGATAATATGGCAGCATCCACTAGCATTCATAACCGTGATGAAAAACAAATCGATAGAAGTTTTGTTTGTGAAGCATCGTATGTGTTTTCGGAAACTTTGAAATGTTTTTTTATCAAAGTTTCTTGAAGAAGATTTTTAGCAAAAATTGATCTAACATTCGAACTGTAGAATCCGTTGAAACATTCATAAAATTTTCCAGTTGCGCATATTCTAGTTAATGATAAAGATAAAGAAAGCAAACAAAAAATCAATAAAATGCTCTGGATTGTGTACTTGAATAATGTTTCTGGCACGACTTTGTATCGAAAAATACCTAAATAATTCAAACACTTTGAATAGAACGGAGTAGCTGCCTTTCACTATCAGTGAATCACTGAGAACTTCACCATACATGAAAAGCAAGAACTGTTAGATTTCGCACGAGTTATCAATTTTTGGTCTAAATTTAAATTTGATAGGCACAGGCACATTAGTTTGGAAGAAAACAGACATTCCTTCGATTGAAGTAACATTATTTTGACATTTTCAAGTACATACTTGTTTGGTGAAATTCAAAGACGAATCCCGTATCGAAAAATGAAAAGCACAAAATCAAAACTCAGGACAGAAATCAATGTCATCTAGTATGGCATATGAAATATCCTGTATGATTTGTGTAACGCCTTTGTGTCAACCTAGTACGGTTTGACAAAAAGTGATCGACGAGAAACTTGTCTGAATTCAACTGCACATCTTGAATTTATAATGATTTTCTGAATTCGCAAGCATGTACAATCGATTTTGTGGTTTATTTAAATACAGGAACGAACTAATCTTGAACAGTTTTGTCACCGAATTGTAATTGGAAACATCATAAAAAGTCGAAGTATTTCAAATTTTATTTTCAAGACTGTAATCTGATTGTAATTGGTCGTGATATTCAAATAGAAGATATTGTTCACAATTTAAAATTAGCACCATATTTTTGTGAAACTTCAGTTAATTGTTTTCTTGTAAATCATTAAAAAAAATTTACATTCGGCGAAAATAATTTGCGTCTGTCAGAACCTATATTATCATTGAAAAACTCTTTTGTCAAACTTGAATTTCCTCGAAAGCTACGCTGAATTGATGGCAAGATTCAAAGTCCATAAATATAATCAAGCCTTCATGGCTCGAATCGGAATAAATTCGTACAATTTAACCGATCCCGCCAATGAGTTTTTCAAATCGCTTGCAACTTTCTACAATTTAATTTCGGCGATCATATTTTTTATTATATCGAGCGGTGCATTTGTTTACTTGAATTGGCCTCACATTGAGATAGTTTTAGAACCGTTTTTGATATTATTGGCAGGCGTTCAATATGGAGGCATGTTCCTAAGCGTTGGCTTGAACACGAGAAAGGTTAAATTGTTGCACCTTACACTACAGGAAATTGTTAATGAAGGTGATTTCTACCCACCTACTTCCACTATTATTTTTTTTCATCATTTTATCTAATTTTTTTTCAGCTAAAGAAGGCGCCGAGCTCAATATCTACTGGAATGCAGAGAAAATGTGTCGCAAGTATACAAAAGTACTGGCTAGTTTCGTTTTTATGAACCAAGCGATGTTTGTCGTTGTTTTCATTTCATCGGTCTATAGCATATTTGTTGGAAACTTGGACACATCAACATGGGAATTACCATTCAAACTCGTTGTTCCATTCAATACTGAACGAGTTTCAGGGTGGTTCATGTTATGTTTTATCCAAAGCTTAATGGGAATTTCTTATTCTTTGTGCATTTCGGTGTTGACTTCGTATTTTGTTTCCGGTTGCTTTTACATTGGTGCAATTTGTGATCATTTCGATTCATTGATTGACTCATTAAAGGAAGACATTCAACCAAACGATGATACGAAGAGATCCAAATCAATTAAATTAACTAAGAAAAAGTATGGAAAAATCGAGGTGAAGCTTCGCAATTTAGTGGAACTCCATGTGAAATTATATGAGTAAGTAAATGCACGAGACACGACGCACAATATTTAATAAAATCAATGGATTTTGTTCAGAGTTTTCAAAATGCTTGCGGATATAAACAGCGGTTCAATATTTTCGTTGCTTCTGCCGAACGTCTTACTATTTGCATGTACAATGTTCAACGCCGAACACGTAAATATTTCATTGTTATATTTTCAACATTTATTCAACAATGTTTTGAACCATAAATACTCTAATTTTCTTTTAATATTATTGAAATGTCGCAATTTTCCCGAAGTCATCTCCTGAGGCGCTTATGATAATCGGATATCATGTGCTTTGTGTGATTTGCTCGTTCACTTGGCCTGTTCTTTTCTGCTACTTTGCCACCTTTGCTACATTCCGAGTTGCTGCTCTCACACAAACTGCATACAATTTAAATTGGTTGGAATGGCCACCGCAGCTCCAGAAATATATTATTTTAATCATTGTTCGTTCGCAAGAGCCAGTCCATTTCACTGGATTCGGTTTATTTCGCTGTACATTGGAAGTTTTTGGAAAAGTCAGAATTCTCCACCTGTTTTATCATGCATGCAAACAGTCTTAAGTTATTATTTTTTGTTTCATTTCAGCTTCTCAAGTCTTCTTGCTCCTATTATCTGGTTTTCAGACGCTTTGCACAACGTTGACACGTTTAATCTGTTGCGGCCTGGAAAATAAATAATGAATTTCAGAAGAAAAACACACTTTGCATCTTTATAATGCTATAATAATATAGCACAATATTTTTCACAATTTTCTATCTACACTATACTAGTATGTGTTATCTCGACAAATTTTCCAGCCCACGACAAAGTGTTGACAAAATTTTATTTCTTTTCGCCGTCCACAAAAATATTTATCATATGGTTTCTACGATTGAATATATTATATTTCACTAAATAATTCGATTCAGTTGTTTCTCCTTTGAAGGAACAACAAATAAATGCAATTGATGATGTCAGTCAAGACGATAAATATAGATGAATCAATAGCCAATTTATATATTATGTCAATATTACAGTGAACTTTGAATTGATGGTTACACAATAAAAAATACATATAAATTCCTTTTTTCTTTATTTATCGTTTGAATTAACGATTCAGTTTAGTTTCTGGTCAATATAACATTGGAAATATTCGTTAATTTTCGCGCGTCAAAGTGCAACACACAGAGATCGATGAACAATACAAGAGACTTAAGCGTGTATACGTTCGTTTCGCGCAATGAAGCATTTGACAGAAAAAAAAACCGTATAAAAACCCTTAAATATTGCGTTCACTGTGTTTGTGACTTAGCACGAACAGCACAGCACAGCATCGGTGTAATCGTACGGATTTGTATTCTATCATTTACGTCAACGAGATGCTGTGCTGTGTGAAATGTGCATTTATATGTATGTGTGTTTGTTCGGTATAGTCCACTTGATTCAAAGGAAAATGATTTGATTTAGAAAATACCAGACATTCACGTGGCTGCAAATTCAACCAGTGTCCGTATTGCATTTCATCAATTATTTCAATTCGGAAAAAAAGCGGACTCTTCACGGCGCAGACCAAAATGTTCAAACAATAAAATAAATCCAATCAAAAAGTTTAGACGCTTGTGACGCACAAAAAGTGTATAAAAACCACATGCCGGAGAAATGCAAAACTCAACCAGTTTTGAAGGAAACTGAAGTAAAATAATACTGAATAAACCATTGAAAAGTGAATGCTGTGTGACAAAGTGACAGCAATATCATCAAGGAACGGTTTATTTTATCGTAGTAAAATGTAAGTTTATTTAATTTCTTTGCATTTTGTTCGATATAAAACGAAAAGGGAGAATTTTCTTCTGGATATTTCCGAACAAATCGGTTGAATTTCACAATATTGCATCACCGTCAAAATCCAATATTTATTCAGTGATTCAAAACAGTAAAATACATGATAGGGAATGTGACATTCAGGAAATATATTTTGTAATGCGCTTTAAATGGGAACGTGTTTTATGGATTGAAAAAAATAATCGTGATTCAGAGAAGTTTGTACAAAACTTGAAGTTATCACAAAAAGTGAACATAGTCTGCTACATGACTTGAGTTTCCCGCATTTTTTTCGATTCAACATAAAATGGTCACCACATTGTGTGCATTCTAGAAAGAATGGAGAAACGTTTCATCATAAAATTGAATGACTTATGAAAATATACAACGAACACATTTTTTTAAGAAATAAAATAACGAAATATACCAACAATCGGTTGAGCAAAATTATTGCAAATTAGAATTCTGTCTCTCATTCTTTAGCTAAACAAATCGATATTATCGTTCATAGAAAAACAACACGAATGCGAGAAGAATTGGCATGAGCTCAAACCGGGCATAATAGGGACGCAGCAAAAAATTTAAGAAAACAAACCGTAAAAGTCGTTAGGTGGTGAGCAAGCGGTCGAAATACAGCATAGCAGCGATATACTGACATTGCCTTAAAATAATAAACAAACCACTGAACAAGTAAGTATAAATTTGCAACATTTTAATTGTTGAATTTTTTTTTTTTGATTTGAACCCTTTTCATTCAATTTATCATTAAATTGTTTCGATTGATATTTCCAGAAAGCTACCAAATCGGCCAAAATCGCCTGAACAATGCCAAGAAGATATTTCGATTCGATTTTAAGTGACGTTCAATGCAGCAGCGATGAACCGATCAACGTTCAACATTCTCTGCATGCTGTTTTGCCGTCAAAATATCACATTCTCTACGTGAGCATTAAGGCGCTCAGAAGTAGATTGGACGATTTGGAGTTATACGTGCATAGACTTCATCAACGTGGAACAGAAATTCATGTCATCGCTATCACCGAAATCAATATCCATGCAGAAACTAGTAAATACGTCAATTTACCCGAATACAATGCGTATTTCAGCACAAATCCAAATAGTGAGGGAGGCGTTGCTATTTTGTTACATAAAAGTCTCACATCGGGTATAATAGAGAACGCTGAAAATGGCGGTATTAATTGTTTGATCGCCCATATTCCAAAATTAAATGTTAATATAGGTGTTTTGTACCAGGATCCGACTGCAACGACCGAATTGTTAGTTGAATATTACAAAAGGATTTTGAGAAAAACACGAATGATTTTGTTCAGTAATGTTGACATTGATTTATTAACGTCAAATGTGTCCATTAGACGGTATACTGATACAGTTAGAGAACATAACTTTTTCATATTAAATAAAATAGACCATGATTCAGCCACCAGAAATAGTTCAATCATGGATCACATTCTGACCAACGTCACACGTTACAAATACTCACTTTCGATTCATGATGTATCGTCCGATACAAAAGTCATTTTACTTGGTTTTGACGATAGAAAACCGCACAAAGTTGAATTCATTGCTGAGCCAAGTGTGGTTCCATACGAAATGGTCGATTTTGAAGAGTTTAATCAGCGTTTTTCTGAAATTGATCTGCAAAGAATTGGATGCATCGATTCACTTGTCTTAAATATGATTGGATGCAAACGAGATAGCACTGTACAGATGGAAAGGTTTCGTCAAAATCGTGACAAACCATGGATTTACGAAAATTCATTGAATAAATCGGATCGATTTAAAATGCGCGGTGAAGCGTATGCCAAACAAATCAATGGAACATTCGAGCTTCATGGCAGTTCCAGAAGACTTCGGGACACTGTCAACGAATTTTTGACGAATAAATCGTCCAGCAAACATTTCATTGATGCGATTCGTATCAAAACCAACCGTGGCCATTGGCGACTTGTTGTTGATAAGAAAGAAATTGCCAATATTCTCAATGAGTATTTTTTGAATATTGGTAAAAACCTGCATAGTCGCATACCCTGTATGACGAATTACTCCATTCCCGAAGTTGATCTCAATGAGAATTACATTGATATCATTTCCACGACAACTGCAGAGGTTGAGACAAAAATACGTACGATGAAGCCTAACAATAATATCAATGACAGTATCTCGTCAAATAATCTGAAATTTCATTCACGCACCCTGGCTCCGTTCTTGACAGAACTCTTCAACGATTGTTTTCGTAACGGTGTATATCCACGCTCACTGAAAATCGATCGAATTGTGCCGGCTTTTAAAAGCCTTGATCCGTTGAAGCCCAAAAATTACAGACCGATCACTGTGCCTTATTCTCTATCAAAATTAATGGAATCAATTATTTGCGATCGAATCACCGAGTTTTGCCATCAAAATGATATTATTGACAAAAATCAATACGGCTTCCAAAAGAATTCCAGCGCAATGTCTGCAGTTGTGTCGGTTGTGGATTATTTGCAAGCTGGTTTGAGCAGATGTCCTGGCTCAATTGGAGCCTGTTTGTTCATTGACTTGAAAAAAGCGTCCAATTCAATACCTCATGTGAAACTTATGGAAAAATTGTTTCGAATTGGCATCCGAGGGTCTTTATATGCATTGATAAAGAGCTATTTGCGCGAAAGACGTCAATACGTCGATATTGACAACGTTTCGAGTGAGATAGCTGTTAACACAAATGCATATTCCATTCCTCAGGGATCTGTGCTTGGTCCATTCTTTTTATTACTTTACATCAACGACATTTGCAAGTTGAAACTTCACGGAAAAATCATTCTGTGTGCTGACGATACGGCCATTGTTTATATAGAAGCCGATCCAGTCACATTAAAAAGACACATGGAAAGCGATTTTGAATTGCTCATCGAATGGTATAACCGAAATGGGTTCACTTTGAACACGAAAAAAACGAAAGTAATGCTATTCAATGGTGAAAATATTGATTTGCAAATCAATTTGATGATAAGAGACAAAGCAATCGAATTTGTTGACAACTATAAATATATGGGTGTTTATTTACAGAACAATTTAGAGTGGGACGTTCACATCAATAAGATTATCACAGAAATAAGTGCTGTATCGGTTGCTATAAAAAAGATTGGAAGTTCAATAAACGAAAAATTGTCATTCATTATGTATCAGGAATTGGTATACTGGCGTTTGGCTTTTATGGCATCGGTTTATGGTACATTTTCAACAAAAGTCCAACTCAATCGTTTGCAAGCAGCACAAGACATGGCAATAAGAAGTATTTTCTCAGGTGCAAACGAACATAACATAAACGATACTTATGTCAAACAAAAATTGCTTAAAGTCAGTCAAATCATCAACTATGATTTAGCTTTGTTTATTTATAAGATCAAGAATAATTTTCTCAAACTGAATCGCACACTGAATTATGTAAACTGTGAAAATGTCTTGGGTGTTGGAGCAAAATATTTTGAATCACTCGATTCTTCAATTCAAGACCAACAAAAACTCGGCCGTTTCAAAAGAAGCTTCAAACGAAGCTTCATCAATTCAAATCGTGGGTCATGTTCTGCAGAACATTCTAAAGCAAATGTCTCATACAAACCAAAAGCAAAAGCAAAACCAAGAGTTTTACTATTCCTATTAGTTGGTATTATTATGGTATTACTTTTTATTGGTATTATTTTTTTCATTTAAATATTAAAAGTAATACCAAAAACACTTTTGGTCATAAATGAATCTTGGTTAATTGAGGATAATTAACGCTCTAGTGCATACAAACGCGTTTAGATGCGCAACATTCGAACGCCTGTATAATGTAAACCGCACGTCGGATCACATTGCTTCAAGTAGAATTTTTATTCCACAAGGTTTTCTCTTCAATTTTGTCTTCAGCACCATTCGTCTACATCAAGCGGTTGTTGTGTTATAAATAAGAATGTGCGCAAAATCAAAAATCTGACAAAATAAATTATCCCTTTGCAGAATTAGACACATTTTTGACACTTTTAAACAATGGATTTGATTGTTCTCTAATTTATTTATTTAAAGTCAACTGAAGTTATAGTCAGTCAGTCATTTTGTTACACACGGGCAATTTATGTCATATAAGCTAAAATATAAATAGGAAAATAAGTCATTTGAAAATAAAAATGTTAAAGAAAAATAAATGTAACTGAAACACTCAAAGTGGTACCGTAACACTGATAAATTAGAAAGTATACAAATAGAACATAGAAATGACCAATTTTAGTTTAAGATTTCATTGTGATTGTTGATTCAATTCTATATCAAAATAAAAAGCATTAAGAAAATGCATTTATGGTTTTTCATTCAAATTGCCATTTCAGCACCAGGTTCAAAACAACTCCGACAATTTGCTTCATGTTTTCTATTTGAATATTGATTGGCTCCCACATTCCACCTATCGCTAGTGCAAAGATGTGTGTGGTTTTCCCAAGCGTGACTCCACACTTAGCTTCTAAATGTGACACCTTGGTAAGTGTGAGCATTCGTCGTGCGAACAAGCAATAAAGAGAGTGAAAACAAGTGCGCGTGTATTAGTCGCTACATTGAGAAGCATCGCATCTGGCTACTCACTACCACACGCGCACTTGTTTCCATTCTCTTTGTCGCTTATTCGCAAAACGAATGCCCACACTTACCAAGGTGTCACATTTAGAAGCTAAGTGTGGAGTCGCGTTTGGGTTGGGATCACCAAAATAAATCAACACAACTAATTTGTGAGCATTGAGAATTGGTCAACATAGACACAAGCTTTACATATTTCATACACGTCACGATACAATACAAACCACGTCGACACTATGGTCACTACGATTAACTGTATATGATGTTTGCATCTGTCTATCAGTCAACACTTGCAAGTGAATTACGTTTAAGCAAATCTGTTGGAATGTATGAATGTATAAAATCCTTATGTATAATTTTTATTGCTTCGCTTTGCTTCGTCCGTATTTCTGTGTATATATGAATTCACATTGTACACTACACATACACTTCTTGCCGCTTGCCAGTTCTCGGTTGTATGTGTGCTTGTTTTGTATAATCGTTCTGACGTAAGGAACAGTTGCTTTAGGACCCGCGACACAGTCACATACAGTTCATTCAGTCAGTCTTTTGAGAAGATTTCGACCAATGAGTTCAATAGTGATATCGATTACTATTTTCAATTGAATAAATTTCCAAAACCCAAAATCTTCCATACAAAAAAAAAGCGTAAACAAAATACAAAAATTCACCGTAAGAGTGAATTGTCAAAACCGGTGAGCGAAAGTGCCGAATTGAACGAAACCACTAGCGAGCGATAGAAACCGCGTGCCGGCATAAACGAAATGCAACAAGTTTGAGAAGGAGATTGAACTGAAATATACGCTAGATGCGTATTAATAAAAAGTGAATGCTGTGTTGTAAAGTGGATGGAATAGCTAGGAAAAAATACCATCAAAAACGGTTTATTTCATCGAAGCAAAATGTAAGTTTCTTCAAGCAAGCAAATTTCAATGGAAAATGAAGTGATAGAATTCTTTTCGAGTTATTCTCAAAAAAAGTCAGTATAATTTCACAATGACGTCACCGACATGAATCGAATATTTATTCAGGTTGAATTTTCAAGGCAATTCAAGTAACAGACTTGATGGAAAACGATCATTGCATACTCCTCTGAATCATTGCATACTTCACGGTTCAAGTGAACATGATTTAAAAAAGTTTGCAGTCATAACAAAAGTGATCGCAATCAAATAAATTCAAAATTCAAAATCGATGATATTTTTTTGCTTCAGACTGTGCTCAATAGGACAAATTAAGTATAGAAAATGTGATGAGACTACTGAAAAATGCACCTGAATCAGGCTACACAATGAAGAATTATTTTTGACACTGACAATTAACCTAAAATAACAAACTAAATATTTCATTCGAAACAGTATTTTGTTTGCAAAAATTGAAGCATTCGCTTCAAGCATGGAATGTATTTCTGTTTGTATTCCTCGTTCTTTGAATGGATAGTTTGAAAATTAACCAAATTCCATCTCTTATTCACTTTTATATGTATATGAAACCATGCGTCGCGTCGCGGTAACTGTAATTTGAAACGTTGAATACGTGTTTAATTACTTTTTGCCGCCTGGAGTATTTTATTTAGATCAATGGTGGTATTAAAATGCACATGATTCATGTGAACAAAAGCACTATTCATTTCACGAAATTATACAATACTTCAATTTTTTTTTTACTTCATGAGAGTATGTGTATGTTCTAATAAACAGAACCTTTGGGAGCTCCTCTTGACATTTGTATTTCAATGGATTTCGTCGAACACACAAAGCAATTGAAAAGTCGATACCATATATTGGTCACAGCTAGAGTTAGAAGTCAACACAAAATATAAACTGCATACCAAATTCATCTCGGCATTGTTCTCACTAGCACAAAAAATGAAGCATGTTTTTCTTCACGGTCGTAAAAATCAACATACAATTGACTGAAACTGATTTGAGTTATGGGTATATAGCCCAATAAACATATTGTGTAACACTTCATAAAAAAAAAACCTTCGTCCAGAAAAACCTTACATCAGCAAACACTTTTTCCAAGAAATATACAAGAACCTGATGATTGAGCGAGGCAATTGCACAAGGAAATCGAATTTTGTCTCTCATACTTCGGCTAAAGAAAATGTGTTATCTTTTTCAGAGAAAAACAACACGAATGAGAGAAGAAATGATATGTGCTCAAATCGGCAATATTGAGGACGCAACGAAGAATCGAACAAAATAAACAGAAAAACTCTTTTAGTACTGAGCAAGCGGCCGAAATAGCATCGACAGCAAATAAACAGTGAGACTGGCATTGCCTTAGCATAAACAAGACCCTAAACAAGTAAGTTGGGATCTGCAACATTTTAATTGTTTATTTTATATCTAGATTTGAATAAAATGATTCACTTTTCATCAATTGCCAACAATTTATTTGGAATATGAACAACTGAAACAAATTTTTTTACTTCCTAGAAAACAACCGAAATGATGACAAGAAGACATTTGGCTTTTGTTGCAAGTGTATTCCAACACAGTGAGGAGCCGACTAATTACAACATTCAATATTTTCTGGATGAAGTCACGTCATCGAAATACAATGTGATCTACGTAAAAATTGATTCGCTAAGAAAAAAATTGGACGATTTGGAGTTGTACGTGCATAGACTTCATCAACGTGGAACAGAAATTCATGTCATCGCTATCACCGAAATCAATATCCATGCAGAAACCAGTAAATACGTCAATTTACCTGATTACAATGCATATTTCAGCACAAATCCGAATGGCAACGGAGGTGTTGCTATTTTCATACACAAATCACTCACATCGGGTTTGATAGATAACTTGGAAAATGGCGGTATTAATTGTTTGATCGCCAACATTCCAAAATTAAATGTTAATGTAGGTGTTCTGTACAAAAGTCCGACTGCAACGACCGAATCGTTACTTGAATATTACAAAAGGATTTTGAAAAAAAATCAAAGAATGATTTTGTTCAGTGATGTTGACATCGATTTATTAATATCAAATGTGTCCACTAGACGGTATACTAACACAGTTAGAGAGCATAATTTTTTCATATTGAATAAAATAGAGTATGATTCAGCCACCAGAGAAATATCTCTCCGTAATGGTCTTGCAGAATATTCAATCATGGACCATGTTTTGTCTAATGGTAAACAATTCAAATATTCATTCTCACTTTGTGACACCACCTTTTCGGATGACAAAATCATTGCCCTGGGCTTTCATGATAATAAGCCAGACAAAATTGAATTTATCGCTGAAGCAAATGCGATTACCTATAATATGGTTGACTATCGCATGTTTAATCAGCGTTTTTCTGAAATTGATCTGCAATCAGTTGGATCGATTGACTCTCTTGTGTCAGAAATGATCGTATGCAAAATGGATAGTACTATACAGAGACAACGATTTCGACGGAATCGCGACAAACCGTGGATTTACGATGAATCGTTGGATAAATCGGATCGATTTAAGATGCGCAGTGAAGCGTATGCCAATGAAATCAATCAACTCGATATAGATTCGAAACGTCTCTGTGACACTATCAACGAATGTCTGACGAATAATCCGTCTAACAAACATTCAATCGATGCGATGTACAACAAAACCCGACAAATTGTTGCCGATAAAAAAGAAATTGCCAATATTCTCAACGGATACTTTTTGGATATTGGGAAAATTTTATACAATCGCATACCTCATATGATGAATTGTGTACTTCCAGGAGTCGATGTGAATCGAAATCACATTCAATACATTTCAACAACAACTGCCGAGGTTAAGAAAAAAATCGATCTGATGAAGAACAACAATAATTTTCATGATAGTATTTCATCAAATACTCTGAAATTTCATTCCCGCAAACTGGCGCCTCATCTGAAAAGACTTTTTAACGACTGTTTTCGCAACGGTGTATATCCACGCTCACTGAAAATCGATCGAATCGTGCCGGTTTATAAAAAATTTGATCCATTGCAGCCCAAAAACTACAGACCAATCAGTGTACCACCAAGTCTATCGAAATTAATGGAATCGATCATTTGCGATCGAATCACCGATTTTTGTCTCCAGAACAATATTATCGACCGAAACCAATATGGATTTCAAAAGAATTCTAGTGCAATATCTGCGGTGGTGACCGTGGTCGATTATTTACAAGTTGGTTTGAACGAATATCCTGGCTCAATCGGAGCCTGTTTGTTTATCGACTTGAAGAAAGCGTCTAACACAATACCCCATAAATTGTTTATGAATAAATTGTTTCGGATTGGTATTCAAGGTCCGTTGTATAATTTAATTGCGGATTATTTGCACGAAAGACGTCAATACGTCGATATTGACAACGTTCTGAGTGAGGAAGCGGTTAATCCAAACGCATTTTCCATTCCTCAGGGTTCTGCTCTCGGTCCATTGTTCTTCTTACTGTACATAAATGACATTTTCAAAATGAAACTTCACGGAAAAATCATTTTATTTGGTGATGATACGGCAATCGTTTATGTAGAAACCGATCCAGTTATATTGAAAAGACACATGGAGAGTGATTTGAAATTACTCAACAAATGGTTCAACAAAAATGCTCTCACCTTGAACACAGAAAAGACCAAAGCAATGTTGTTCAATGCTGAAAATATTGAGTTGCAAATAAATTTAAATGTAGGAAGCAAGGCAATCGAATTTGTAGACAATCATAAATATATGGGTGTGTATTTGCAGAACAATTTGAAGTGGGACGTCCACATCAATAAGATTATTACAGAAATAAGTGCTTTAGCTGATGCGTTCAAGAAAATTGGCAACAAAGTAAACGGCAACATTTCACTAGGCATCTACTATAAATATGTTTATAATCATTTGTCTAAAATTGCATCTATCTACGGCACATTCGCTACCAAAGTTCAACTAAAGCGTTTGCAGGTAGCACAAGACATGGCAATAAAAAGTATTTTCTCAGGTGCCAACGACTATAATATAAATGCAATTTATGTCCAATATAAATTGCTTAAAGTCAGTCAAATCATCAAGTATGATTTAGCTTTGTTGATTTATAAGGTCAAGAATAATTTTCTTAAATTAAATCGACAAGTGAAAGACATAAGTGGTAAAAATATTTTGAGTTGCGGGCTAAAATATTTCAATTCACTCGATTCTTCAATTCAAAACCAACACGAACTCCACCATTTCAAAAGAAACTTCAAACGAATTTGCATCAATTCGAATAGATATTAGAATCTCGTTGATTTACTGACACTCGAAACTATTTTGAACGCCTTTTTTTCTCTACAAATATTTGAATTATTTTTGAATTAAGTTTCAAATTAGAGTTAGATAAAAGACGATTTATTCCATAACATGATGTACTTAAACCAATGAACAAATGAGCTCAAAAATATATGTGTTCTGTCAATTATAAGTTAGAAAATAAGACGATACACTAAGATAAAAATGTAGAACAGACATAAATAGAACATTGCATAGTTTAGCGCTGGTTTGCTGCTCTCACACCACACAACACACAGTATGCAGCATACTGTGTGTAATGTGGTGTCAGAGCAGCAAACCAGCACTAAACTGGTGTCAATTTCTTTTTGGGCGATAAGACTTTATTGTGATGATTGATTCAGTCCTATATCAAAATAAATCAGATAAAATTTCAGATTAGATGAATTCACTTATTGTATTTAATTTTAATTGTTATTTCAGCACCAGATTCAGTTCAAACCGATGTAAAAGAATTTTTGCTCCTATCCCAGCATGACCTTTTTTCATCAAAATTAATTAGAACCAAAATTTACGGCCATTTACCTATACAAGTGTGTACCACATATCATTTATTCTGTCATGCTCTTCTTATGTCCATAATTTTCAGTCATTATATGTATTTTGACAGAATGATAACAGAAAAGTGTGACAGCCCTACCCATCAAAATCATCAAATTTGATGTCGCGATCATTACTTTTGCTTTTTCTCTAATTTGTATGTCAATGATTCCGACTATCCACTCATAATGTCTTGGTCGCTAATTGAAATCGGCTACGTGCATGAGTATATTGCATGCACATCCGAAATGCACGATGCGGCTCATAGCGTACTGATTATGTCATGAAGTCATTAACAAATGCAACATAGAAAATGTTACAGTCGCACTAAGTTCATACGTTTTGGTATCACATCGGTACTTTATTAAATACAGAAGGTAATGTGCGCTAGCGCTATCGAGCGTTATCCTTTTTCCATTTCTTCATCCTTTGACTTGAACTACGAGTCAACTTTGAACCGACTACTGACGGCCGCTTCACTTTTTATACCACTTTCCCTATTTATTCTCCCAGTTCTTTTCGTTTCGCGACACAACCGATGATGCTAAAAATAGCCTCAAAAAATCCCATCTCCCTATAAATATTGAAAGCATGGAGAGCATTCTTGCCGTACAAAGCTCCAATGCATCGCATTCTGAGGTTTGATGTCATCGATAAAACGGATGTCGCAATTGTTTTTTTACGTCTAGTCCCGAGCAGAAACGATTATTTGCGGCGTAGCAACATTTACACTTCGTTGTTCGTGACGCTTAAAGTGTGACGTTATGGAGATATGACCTATGCTTTGGTTACTGAATATACGACTGCTTATCGTGGATGCACATCACACAACGTGTACAAACGAAATTTTTAACCCCGCCAAATATGATGACTCTTGTGGTAAGGTGCAATTCAAAATGCACAGCGCGACGTTTCTAATGCTCGAATCCTCTTTTTTTCTCTCCGCCCCTCATTTCCGCCTATAATAAGTTGTATTTAAGTAAAAAAAAAACGAAGGAACATTGTCAGTTGCTATCCGGAACAGATCACAATAAACACTATAACCTGTTAGCTTCAAAAATTATCATTCAATTGTCATATTAGTTTCACGTTGGATATATACAATGGTAGGTTCGTTTCTTACATTCAACGTTGAAAGAGTCATGAATACATCTGTCATTTCCCTCATCTGTAAGTGATTTATGTGTTGAACAACTCATTCACGGTAAATACAAATACGTAGTATATAATCGAAAAGTGACCGTTATTGCAATGCTTTGTTCATTAACGTCATATTTCACCTTTTTTAGATACCTGTCTGCGTGTATGTGTGTATGTGTGCGGTTGACGAAAACAACTATAAAAATTGCAAACAGAAAACATAACCTCTAAAGGGCATCGCAAAAATGCCCATAAACAATACATTCGTGTGCATACGAATAATTGATAAAATTCATTGCAAACAACTGAGTGATAAAGTGATTTTATCATATGCGATTCGAAAATAAATGAACAGATATGTTTAAATATCGAATTTACCGTAATGAATAACGATTTTTATTATTACAATAATCCCAAGCAATGTGTGGCAAAAATTTGCCATGTTATACAAATGCGAACAGTTTTTTTTTTCGCAATTAAATAGCAACATAAGTTTACGGTACTGAAAACGGACCCAAAACATATACGCACACATTTATAAACAATTGATCGTACGATTTTTAGGCGATTGCCAAACACACAACTCAACACAGGATTTGCTTAATATGCATGAAGTACACTCATACATATGCCAGTGTTCCGTATACGTATTCGACCGTAAAACGTCTTAACGCATCGTTAGCAGAGTCAAGCACAGAGCCCAAGCATGTAATGAAATTAGTTTATGGTTGGCAGTTGTCGTACATGGTGTATGCTGTTATTTTACAGAGAATTTGAGAAAAAGAAGTAAACAAACGAATTTATTATTGAAATTGACATAAAAACGTTAAACTAGTGAGAAGATAAAATAAGTGAACCTTTCTTTGGTGAGTAGATTGCTTTGAACGAAAACACGATGCAATTGGATTTGCAAATGTGATAACCACTTGTTGGATAGTGTCACGAGTGTTTAGAAAATGTGCACAAATTTTTTTTTGCGTAGAGAAAATGAGTAAAAATCCGAATTTTCTGATGCGCTACAGGCTCTCCCTGTGTTCACTATCAATCGGTTAATTTTTTTGTATAGATTTTTTGCTACCGTCGTTTTTTCCTCTTTATTTATCTATGTGAAATGGTGTTGTTTCTATATGCTGTATCATTTCTACCCTTGCTATCTCTACCAACATGTAACTCTAACCTTGTGTCAATTTTTAGGGCCTGTATTGTATAACAAACTGTGTAAATTGAATTAGAAAGCGACTGGAAAATTGCATTGTGCTAAAGGAGAAAGGATGAATTTGTCGTTTGCTGGCTGTGGTTTCCTCGGTATTTACCATGTTGGAGTTGCTGTATGTTTCAAAAAGTATGCGCCACACTTGCTGCTAGATAAAATAAGTGGAGCTTCAGTTGGATGTTTGGCAGCTACCTGTTTACTCTGTGATATGCCATTAGGTGAGTATCAAGGCAGTTTTTTTTAATAGACTAAAAAGAAAAACGCAGTGATTGTTCAGGGTTAAAAAAATATAAGTGTGCACCAATAGCGCATAAAAAATGACTCACTTCTCAATTCGTTCATATGAGTGTGTTATTGATCGTATTTTGCTGAAGTTGCATTTAAATTTAAAAACAAAAATTTCGCCTGCAATAAATGAAACACGTTCATAATTCATCGTATATCGCAAAAAAAAAAATGGAATGAATATCAATTTCGGTGTATGAGTTAATACTTATTTGATGAAAAATTTATGCTAAAAATCATTAGCGGTTTTTTAAATTCAGAAATGTGTGAAAATCATTGAAAATGTTGCAAACAATGATCCTGGTGTATAAGGTTCCAACTTTGAATATGTAAGGAAAAAAAATTGGTCTTCGAGTTCGTCTTGAATTCCAAACGCTGAACAAATTCAATGCATGTGCAAACATGCACAATCACGTAAAAATGCAATAGGCCTTTAACTGGAAACTCCGGGATTATGTTTTCTTTGTTCATTCTTTGTCTATTCATTGTTGTTTTCCGAAAATAGATTCTACTGTTACCTCCTTTGTCATCACTAAGTGGTTTAAAAAATGCCAACTTTAGTTTAGGATTGAACAACATAAAGTATGTCATAAAGAAACCAGCTGATTTCACAATCAATATTGACAATCAATACTGAAATTACATATCGATACAGTTAGTGAGTTGATGACTTGTGTACATGCAAACTCATGTAATTTGCCTGAGACAAATCCGTTTGTCATCTTATTTTTTGAAACAATATCTAATCAAAAAATCAACAGTTGATATTTTCGTCATGAAGCACCTTTCCCACAAAAATAAATGAAACAAACGTATGTTTGTTCTTTGCTCGATCGGTGGCATAAATCAGTTAGGACAAATGAAAATTTTTCATTTGTATTTGCTCTTATAAATGAATCAATAGAGAACGGCGAATTGGGCAACTTCAATCGGCTTCACCATATTTAATTATCAGTTCATTGAGTTTTGAAACAAATTATACTACAATGTTATGTCCAATGCAACATTGTGCATTATTTAAGTTTGGTCAATATTAGCTCAGATTAAAAAAAAAATCAATCCATACTTACCAATTTTTCATATCTTTTTTTCGCAGGTGAAATGACATTAGACTTTTTCCGTGTTGTCAATGAAGTTCGATCACATTCACTTGGTCCATTCAGTCCGTATTTTAATATTCAAACGTGTTTGTTGGAAGGAATGCACAAAAATTTGCCCGTTGATGCTCATGAACGTGTCAATGGGCGTTTGCGTTTGTCATTGACACGATGCTCCGATGCCAAGAATATAATTGTGTCTCAGTTTGACAGTCGCGAAGAGTTGTTGCAAGCTTTGCTGTGTACTTGTTTCATTCCGGGATTTTCCGGCATTCTACCGCCAAAATTTCGTGGTGTTCGCTATATCGATGGGGCGTTCTCTGATAATTTACCAATCCTAGACGAAAATACAGTCACTGTCAGTCCATTCTGCGGTGAAAGTGATATTTGTCCGCGCGATCAAAGTGCGCAACTGTTCCATGTAAGTAGTTGTGCATTCGATCTGTATCTTAATCTAGTTTCAATATGATGTAAAGACTCATTCAATATTTAACTCCTTTTTTAAACCTATTGAATCTTCTGAAACAGATGAATTGGGCCAATACAAGCATCGAGTTGTCACGACAGAACATGAATCGATTCGTTCGCATTATGTTCCCTCCAAAGCCGGAGATATTAAGCAATATGTGCCAACAAGGTTTTGATGACGCCCTTCAATTTCTACATCGAAATAATTTAATTAGCTGCACTCGCTGTGTGGTTGTTCAATCGACATTCGTCGTACAAGAGCCTGCGTTATCCGAAGATGTATTCGATCCAGAATGTACAGATTGCCAGCAACATCGTGAGGTATATAATTTTTCTACAATTTCCCATCGGATCCATCCAATTTATTGTTCATTGAATTATTTGTTCATAGGCTGCGTTGATTGGAAATATGCCAGAAACTGTTCTATCTGTCTTCCAAACGTGCATTGAATCAGCGAATAAAGGTCTGACAAATTGGATGTTTGGACATAAAGGTACAAAGATTTTAAGGGCGCTTTCGTTACCCGCTACTCTTCCGGCCAATTTGGTTTTCTCAACTGTATCAAAGTAAGTATTTAATTCAATAATTCATTCAACACGCATTTGCTCATTATTATCATTTGGTTTTGTTGAAGTATCGATCGTTTCTGTGAATTGTCTGTATCGAAGTAAAATTTCATTTTCTTAATTCATTTCGTGTTCAAACTTCAATTATTTGAAGTTATTAATATTTCAATTCAGTTATCTATCTCTGTATGCTGCATAATTCGAAAAAAAAAATCATGTAGGTTATAAATGTCGAATAGAAGATCAGAATGTACTTGTTTTAATCACATCGCATGTGTGGTGTCACATATCTTCATTTCAAAGCAAGAAAAGATTTTTGAGATTCTGAGACAATTTTCTCTTATTTACAGTTGCATTGACAGTATTTATACCATTTTCCTTGCTGATTTCTGTGGTACTAACACCATAGTTTGATTGATGGATCTTAAGACATTAAAAAAATCCAATCAAGACACATATAGTACAACGACGTTAAAACACAATCAGAACTTATTAAATTTCATAAATTAGAAAAAGTGATCAAATTGAATAATTTAAGAGTAAAATATGACAGAAGTAGATTTGATGAACTCTTCACTGGATGAAAATTTTTCTTTTATTTACAAAAATGCTGTCGAAAGTTCAGGTAAACGTTTAGAGTGGACAATTCAATACATTTATACTCTGAAATATATGTGTGCGTGGAGCAAATTTAATTTTTATTCTTTCTTTTCATTATAACGATAAACACAATTAAACTTTCATTTCTTTCACAGATTAGTGTCAGCTGCCCCATGTGTAAGTGAACAATTGTGGTCATTGGGCAAATATGTATTGAGTCAAGGTCCTCCAAAGGTAGGTATTTCGTTGCAGAAATGAAACATTTTTCCATAAAATCAAATTCCCAAAAATAATTGTATTTGATTGCATTTCAGATGTCGGATGAATTGTCTAATAAACAAGCAAATGTTCTGTCACATCAGTCGTCAAAAATCGATGTTTTCCATAACAATGATGGGTAAGAAGGTTAAAAAGCATATCGATGCAATTCAATTAATTAGAAAGAAATATTTCTATTCAATTAATTTGGAACTCTTTTTTTCAAAATACAGAACACCAACTGTGACTACAAAAGATCCGACTGACAACAACAGCAGCAGCAGTGAATTCAATCCGGCGTATTCGTTTAAACTCAAACCGAATCCAACACAATGCGAGGTAGACACATTTGACCATATACTGCAGGTCATATCATACCACGATGCTATTTATTCATACTACTACACGGACGATAATAACGAGGTAAACTCTACGTTTTGAATTAATTCATTTTCGGTGGCTAAAAATTTTGATTTGATTTTCAGGTGAAATTCACAAAAATCGTTGATTTATCCGACGTCAGCAATAACACAAATGGGCAAGTGCATAAAAATGTGAAATGTCATCAAATCCACGCACATGCGACCGATAATGCAAACAACAACAATACAAGCAATTTCAATAACAACCAGAAAGTGGAGCATCAATATACCACAGGCGAAGATAGTCCCACGATCAGCGAAGACGATTTAGATAATTTAATCAACCAAACGATTAAAGAATGGCAGCTACACCAAAAAACTAATGCCGGAACTGAAAAAGGGACCATCAACATTGGTCTTACTCAATCGGCTTCACATGTATCGTAATACGTAACCAAAGTACTTCTATCTATATATACAAGATTGTCCAAATCACTGTGCTTATTCTCAACAGCTTATTTTTTTTACATATGAATAGTTTTAAGTGTTTTATTGAGAGACTCAAAGTGACATATTATTAAATGACTGATTTAGGTCTATATAAAAATAAAATCCCCGATTTAAGAAAATTAAAATTCATTTATTCCATTTGAATTAGTATTTTAACACCAATGGGATCGTTGTTTTTTTTTTTCAATCTGTGGGAGAGATCATCGAAACATTGGCTACGTTCTTTGGTTTGGGCACAACATTGAGCTGAACGAATAAGTAAAACATGTGGACCAAATTTTACTGCATTCGATTTGTTCGCTTTTCATGCATGCTTCTTTGTACTACCTGATTTTTAGACGTTGATTAAAAGATCAGAACATTTTATCGATGTCATTTTAAAGGAGCACCGCTAAAGCAAAAGTGAAAATAAAAAATTACAAGCTTCGAATCAATTTATACAATCAATATTCATTCATTTATTTTGCACAAATTAATGTTATTTAAAATGTTATATTTATATCTCCAACAATTCTCTCTCTTTTTTTTCCAATATTTTAATTCCATCCTACGACAAACAGATCGTTCAAGCGATCGCTTCATAGTAATATGTCACACAAATATATGCATCATGATCTCTACAATTGAATTTTAATTTTATATATTTCACTATAATTCCTAAATAAGATTAATTTTCTTCGAAGAAACAACAAATAAATACAATTGATGATATAGTTAACACAATAAATGCAGCTTAACCAAAATATTTTAATTTATAATATACTATGTCAAATATTGCAGTGAATTTCGAATTGATATTTACGATCACAAAAAAAAAAAAAACGAACAGACAGACAAATGCACTGAGCACGTGAATTCTTTTTCTATCTCAAAATATGGTTTTTCGCATTCACTTTTATGAATACGGAGCATTCAATAAAGTCATTAACAGAAGCGTGATTTTCATAATTGTAGATGGCTTTTCGTTAAGAACTACTGCGACGTGCTTTAAAATTAAATAGTTTATCTCTTTATCTCAAATCAAAGGAAGCTAATTTGGACTACTCAATATTTATCTAGATGAATTTGAAGCAATTTGCCACCGCACACATGTTTCTCTCTAACGTATAGGGTTGAGAATATATTCTCAGGTAAACTGGGTTGCTGGTTTTGTATGTCTGTCAATAATTATGATTAAGGTGCATTTGGACGCGCTGGTAAGGGTGGCGGTGCGCCTGATCGAGCCGGAACTTTTGGTAAATCGTTCGGAACTGGATTGCTAGGATTTGGTGCATTTTGTCGTCTTGGTAGTGGTGGAGGTGTGCCCATAGCAGTTGTGCCAGTTGGTATTGACGGTTGTGGTCTACTCGATGGCGGAGATGGTGCTGTTCTTGTGGCAATATTTCGGCTTGGGCTGGCCGTATTTGATTTGTTTGGATTCACATCCAAATCATAGACTGAATCCTGCGGCAATGGCGGCGGAGGATCTCGTGGTTTTGGAATGTACTGCGAAAAACCAACAATAAATAAATAACAAATTTCAATTTATCAAAATTCCAAAATACTCACAACATCATCATCAATTTCCTCATAAATGGCTCCGGTATCCTGATCATGAATGCTGAGTGATTGTGGCGGACTCACTTTCTGTGGTGCCTCTTGAATTGGACTTGGTGTTGATGAACTGCTGCTGCTGCTGCTCGACTTTTGTGACAGATTCGGTTGCTGTTCTGTCTCTTGATATGTTTTCGGAACAGCAACTGGTGGAGCTGGGCGATGTGGCATGCCTGAAGCCGCACCACCACTCGAATCGGCGCTAATTGGTCGCAATATTCCTTGATCTGTTTTGACTATGCTGATAACGCCGGCTTTCGGAGTGTGTTTTGGTGTTGTGGGTAATGGTGGCCGAATTGGAGGCGATGGCCGGACAGGCGGTGACTTTGGACGGCTTGGCGGTACTTTTGGTATACCCAAACTATTGTAGTCTCCAACTTATTATGAATAGAAAAGAACAATTTCGTGAGAATGATGTATGAAAATCAAAATGAAACGAAATCAGGGAAAACTTTAACTCACCCGGCGATGATGAGCACAATTGCACTGTGTTTGTGGTGCAAAGTGCAATTTCACGTTCAACTTGAGCCAGCCAATTTTCGGTCTTCAGATTAATATGGAAATCAATACCCCTGATTCGGATTGATTTCTTCTGTACTGCTATCAAAGTCGATTGACCGTCTCTGAAAGTGACCCACATAGTTTCGCCCACAAATCGCACCAAAGTGACTTCTCCAATGAGGCCTAGCTCTTGAATTATCATGGTAGTAATGTCCTCGTCATAAATGCTAGGCGCATCTTCGTCATCGGCATCGTTTGTACCCGCCTAAAGTGATTTCACACATTAACAATGTAATTTAAAAGATAATACATAGAATTAGGTAACAAAAACATAGCAAAATCTGCTTACATGTATGACAATGGTGCAATCGAAGGGTCCCATGTCACGGATAACATCTTGAAATACTTTTTGTCGTTGTTCTGTGTCAATTTTCGATATTTCAATGTGAATTACCGCGACAACCGGCCGATGGTCACTCTGTTTCAATTCAGCTCGCCCATAGTACAACAGTCGACCCTCATTCCAATCGTAAATGCCATCGTCTTGTAGCATTTTTCGACGACGCCACAAAACCCGATCGGTCCATGCTGGTGCACGACATTTTTCACTCGTATCGAAGTCCTCACTAAACAAATCATACTTATACGTTGGTGGAAAAGTGATGTCACCTTCAATGTAGTCATTGAATACACTTCCGGCCAGCTTCTGTACGATTAGCTGATCTTTCTCCAAAATTGGCCCGAGCTGATCTTCTTTCACCAAATCCTTGATTTCATCTTTGTCCATATCGATACGGTAATTGAAATCACCGCACCAGAACACATAGTCATGCGATTTCAACGATCGACCCTAATAGAGGATAAAATCAGTTACGTTTAATTCAATACTCAATTGTCTAGCATAAATCAAATGTGACTACCATTGGGAAAACGATTTTCCGTGTGATTTCAGCGTAGTCAGCATTTCGTTCGAGCACTTGCGATTGGCCGGCAGCAAAATGAGCAGCAACAAAACAAAACGAAGTGCCATGTAATACAAATCGAATAGCAGTGGCTCCTTTATTGCCTGTGGTTCCACCCAAGCCAGTTTTCACCGAATCCGTTGCAACATCACGAATGTGCTCAGCATGCTCTGGTCGAATGAAAACATACAAACACACACCAACCAATTGCTGATAGGTCAACAACGTATATGGTTCATCTCTTGAAAGCGTTTTTTGCAACTCCTCGGCCCATGCTTTGGCATTATCGGAACTGGCTGCCATAATGTTGCTCGCATTTAGATCAACAATTTCCTGGAATCCAATGGCAAAAATATCGCACGCATCAGCGGTTCCATCTTCTGGATGGCTGACATCCACTAAGGCTACAAATGCAAAAACAAGAGATGAATTTAATATCAAGAATTTTTTTCGTCTTATTCTGATGTCAAAAACGCCAAGACTTACATCGTGATCGAGCCATTTTGTGTGAGTCCAGCAGCCAATCCGCTAGTGACAGATCTTTGTAAACAACACTTCGAAAATGTTTTCCACCGTTGACATTGTATGTGGCTACTCCAACGCGAATATCCATCGGTTTTGTGTACTCTGTGTATCTCTTGCAGAGCTCTCGCAAAACCGGTGTTGGAGCTAAAAGAAATCGATATGACCAAATCGTTCCAATGACAAATGAAAAACTAATTAGAAAAATTACCGTGTAGTATGTTCGATGGAAGTAGGATGCGTGCACGATCGGCAAGTTCCGAGCTCAATGTTGACCCAACCAGGAGAATATCGATGGCTTCTTGTTTGGAGCTATCCAATAAATTGTTTTGAATTGTTCTCGCTGCTGACCTTGCACCGTCCATGAGCTGAATAGTACGAAATAATTAAATTTTCAATTTTAAATCGGATCACCGATAACAATGATTATTACCTTTGAGCCACCTTGAATGGCTCCCGTGCCGGCATAGATTTTGCTCACTTCGTTGCCATTATTAACCCACATTTGACGGAATACCTCATCGAGTCGCGACTGCATTTGCGCTTTGTCATGGAAATTGAGCAGTAGAATTTGCTGGCTCAGCATTTCCAACCCCAAAAATGTTTGGACACAGTTCGTTCGATCCAAGCAATCCAGACAATTGGTGCGAATCGTGCCACGCTGTTCACGCAGAACACTATCGCCGTTTGCATGGAAAACATCGAAATGCGAGCAGCATGTATCTAGTTTGGCCTTAAGTTTAGAGAGAGCCGATGTGTTTCCTCCGCGGCATTCCTGATGATAGTCGAACACGATGTGCGGTACATCGTTTGCATGCACCGATTCTTTGTGATGGCGTTGGAATTCATTCGAGAGCATCGCTTCACCTTCTTTGCTGCCAATCAAACTGGTGCCCAGTAAATTGACGATGACTTGTTGGCCATATCGTTGTTTCATCATTTGCATATGCAAATCGAATGCTTTGACCGATGCTTCGTATCCTCGTGACATTTTCACCTTATGCGAACCAACTTGCACGCCTGGCTGTTCCCAAAATAGCGGCACCGAGCCACGAGATTGGATGTAAGATGTGCATTCTGAATCCAAGTAAATAACTTGCTCAGTTTCAACAAAATTTGCAACATGACCTTCATCATTCGTTCCACGCACATTGAACCGTGTACCAGCTCGTTCACAGCTTAATCGTGAAATGATTGCAACTTTTGCCTGGCGACTCCCTGCATAAACCGTACGAATCTCAACTGATCCGCACATCGCTTTGAGCAGCCAAAATGCACAATCGACACCGAAACGCAACAAATGGATATGCAGCATTCGGTTCCAGAAAAATCGATTGTCCGTCTCAGTTGTTCGGCGACGTCTTTGCGCACACAATGTTAAATCGAAGGAATTTTGCAGTGCTGTTGAATTGGCCACGCATGTATTCCACGAAAAATAAAATGTACCCGAATTTAACACCTTCCGCACCTATTCGACAAACAATAAATAACACATATAAATCAAGCTTAGTTAACAAAATTCTAAATTGTGTGAATTTCCATTTTAAAATTCTCGTACCTCAGCAATTTTATCTTCGCCAGGCGCTTGAAATTGTAATGGAACGAATTGCGTTTGTGTTATTCGAAATATTTCGGAGTCGCTTATCTTGCCCATGGAAAAACAGCCTGTCACCAACACTAAATACAGCACCGATGATTCGCCTGCATTTACCTGTAGCACACCCAAGCAACCATATGCATCAGCAATTTTGACATATTGCTTTTTTATCGTTTCGAGCTCTTGTGCGGCTACGTATAATTAAAAATTAGAAGAAGGAAAAAAATTCATATGAATAAATATGGATGACTTGGAGGAGTAGACAGCTTTTTTTTCTCATTTCAACATTGAGAGATTCAATTAACGTCGCAAAAGTTCAAAGGTTGTCTAGTATTTTCCTGCATAGCACAGTCTATGACATAACAAGTGGCTAAAATCGATAGAGCTGCGGCAAGAAATGATGGGTCAAAAAGAGAAAAATATCAAACACACACGAAAAAAAAACGATAGCGAGACATGATGAAAACAGACATGAACTCAGAATGAACACAAAGAAGAAACAGATGGAATAAGTCAATTAAGTTGAGCAGCACATCAATAAGAGGAAAGAGAATCGAGAGAAATTCTTACAGAGGACGGCAACTGCTTGTGATTCAAATAAGAGTGCCTCTTGTGTACGTTGCCGATGTTCCAAGATGATGCTGTGGTTTGGTTGCTTCTTTTCAAAAATACGAAAACCTTTTGATAACGCCATTATGCTTTGGGTTTTTGGTTTTGTTACAATCACTAACTTTGTCCACTCAGTCGCAATATTCTTTTGCGACCTTTAATTTACTTTACTTATCACTTAAATTACGAAGACGAAGCAAATTTGTGTTATTGTTGTTGTTGTTGCTGCTGCTCCTAGTTCTAGCGGAAAAAAAATGGTACAGAAACTTCATCAAATCACTACACTCAGAATGTTACATTGAATAATTTTCCGCCCTCAATTTGCTAATCGTTTTTTTTTTATTTGCCTCGAAACACAATGTTTTCCCATTGACACAGTACAAATATTCTTATCAGACACACACAAAAAGAAGAAGCAGAAAAATACACAAATTCCTCGAAACACGAAGCACAACAAAACAACGTAATTCACTTATACAAACACAATCGATTTATCGCAATACATTTTAATATTTGCATCTATTCCCAATGAAAATCAACTAATTCGCACAACAAATGCTCTTTTCCATCAAATTTTTATTGATTTCTGCAAAACACAAAAATTCCATTGAATGCTTCTTTGGATGCACACAAACTTATTACTTTTCACTCTCGATTCATGTTTTCTGTGTGGTATAGGTACTTTTTCCCACGGTCGTCTTCGTTGTACTGAATGGTTGAAGCTTTTGATGGTCACACAAAATGTCAAATTTCTCCGTACTACTTGTTCATGTAATCGATATAATATCGTCTCTTTCATGTGCACACACATTCATTCTCGCATAGAATGCACAATAACATTCCAGCTCAACATCGCAATAAAACCGTGTCATTCTACTTGAATGCTGTTGCAATAATTTTTACTTTATTTTATCACGGAATAATGAATATTTTAATGTTTCTTTGTCAATTTTCTGTGATTATTTCTTTTATTTCTGCGAAAATTTGATAGTAGACTATCAGTTGTTCCACGAAAAAAATCAAGCTATTGCATCTACTGAGCAGAAGTCTGAAGCAAATCTGACATTTAAGTAGGTTGAGAGCAAGTACAATATAGATCAATTGTACCAGACGACTAGAGTGAGCGAAACAGAACGATAAACAAACCTTTTTTTCCCATTGCATCCTCTTGGTGGAGACGCCACACCATTTTGCACCACTGACAAAATTTCGGTGATTTCTCTATGTAAGCACGCCGGTCAAAATACTTGAGTCAGATATAGTATATCGAAATCAATATGAGTTTTTTGCTGTTTTTTTTTTCTATCTTTCAACATATTGTCAATCATACTGAATCCATTTAATATTTATTCATCTGCATGAAAGAAACCTGTTCACACTATGGTGAAGAAAAAAATCTCACCCATTTCATTGATTTTTAAATTTTTTTTTATTTTTTTTAAATTTGTGATAGAATACATAATTTGTGTTGCATACAAGAAATTCCAATACGGGATCGAATACAATTTAACGTTCATTATTGGGGCGATTAATTTTGTTTTTTTTTTGTTCTTTACACCGTTTCTACTTTTAACATCGGGGAAATTCTATTGGCATCGAGCTGAAAAACTACTGAGTCAAAGACCGTTTTCTCTCAAAACAGTCAAGCTCAACTCGTTGAAGATGTTAACAGGAAAATTCATGAAGTAACTACAGGAACAATAAACAAATGTGTATTGCACAAAATTGATTGAAAACCCAAGAAATGACGAGAAAAAAATAACTCTTATTACCAGATATAAGGCTATATAGAAAGTAACAGAAAAAAAAATAAAAAAACAACCAATTCGATTTATATTAAATGCTAAATTTTTTGAATTGAATGAATCGTATAACCCGAACCGTTGCATGTTTAATTATTTTGTAAAAATGCCGCACATCATAAGGATTTGAAATTGTTCACAATGCTATATAAAAGGAGTTGTAATAGTTGTTTACTCTTCGATTGGATAGCTCATTAGGAGTTTTACTATTTAAGTAGGTATGTGAGTTTTGTGTTAGTCATTGCTTATGTGCTGTTGATTTTTTGTGTTTGTGTTGTGATTTCGTTGACTGTTTTAAAAAGTATTATTTCTGTTGTTAGTTGTGTCCATTGTTGTAAAAAAAAGTGAGCTATGCAAAATACGCGTGGAGAAATATAATTGAACAAATGAAAATAAAAGTAAGATAGCAAAAATGTTTCATTGCTGTTGTTACATTAATTGATCTGTTGTTGTTCTTATATTGTTTTTTTCATTGAAAATGTTAAATTTTAAATCAAAATGAATGAAAACGAAAGATTTTGCAGAAGATTTAGAAAATATTTGTTTTTAGAATTGTATTCATTAGCAACGTTCAATGTATAATATATTCGATGTGTTGGATATATACTTTAATCATCGGATCTCGGATGCTCATCTACTCTGGCCGTTGTTGCTGCTGCTGCTGCTGCTGCTTTTTGATTTTATTTATGATGTGTGCATTCTGAAGAAAAAATTATATATCGATAATCGGTATTGAATGTGAGAACCCACAACGTTTCTTTTTTGTGTTTTTGTATGTAATGCATTCGTCTGTTTAGCTCGAGAGCGTTCTTACATTTTAAAGAGGTATAAAACAAGAAACGTTTGATTTTTGTTAGGATAGTGTAATATTGGTAAAACTCCATTCGATGATGCTTATTATATGTGTTAATAAGCTTAGCTTAAACTTTTACTCATTTTTTTATACCTTTTTTTGCTTACTGTCTGTTTTGTCTTTAGTGACTCTAAGGTTTCTTATTCTTTGATATTCAATTTAATTCTCTTTTTTCACTTCTTAACATTTATTAACCACCATCCTGTTGCATTCCTAGCAGTGCGTCTTTTGAGCTGCTCAAACATATTATGTGACGAACAAACTTATTACTGTTGTTGCTGTTGCTGTTGCTGCTGCTGCTGCTGCTGCTGCTGTTGTTGTAGTTGCTGTTGCTGCTGCTGTTTGTTTTGTTTATCCTGTAAATAAAGTCGTTGTGACAGTGGATTCGTGTAGATCCAAACGTCGCCAACGGGTTTGAAGTATTTCGTTTCCCAATCGGAGCCGCTCTCCTTGCGCTGCTTCGCCTCGTCACGTTGTTTTTGCTCCACTTTGGCTTTGGCGGTTGTTGCTTTTTCGATATCGTTGAAACGCAGACCGGCTGTTACATCGACCCAAATGCGACGTGATTCGTTTTCTACTTGTTCGCTAATTGGTTGAACATTTTTCTTGAAAATCGGTATCTTATTTACATCTACGAATACTTCGGGTTTCTTATGGCTATCATTCCATTTAGCCTCCATCGCACCACTCCATTCACCGTTGATACTCAAAAATGACTTTTTCTCATTTGGTGCATACACCTCGGCCGTGATACGATTTCGCTTACCGCCATAGAAGGGTTTCGTCAAAAACTCAATATCGGCACGGTAGCCGGTTTGCGGGCATGTAATTTGTACACTACCACCAAGCTCGATCCATGGTACCGTTAGGATAGACCTGTAAATTAACAAATTAAATGAATTTAATGGCTGAAATGTTGAGAAAACGATTTCTATATTGATAATTTATTCACAAACCGTCCATATCCATTCGGGAAAGTGACTATGTATTCTTCGTTGTATTCGCTAAGTGTTACAATACCCTGGCCAATGTTATGCACACCAATGGAGAGGCCCAAGAATTTCGATTTCGTCCACACATAAGCCGTGAAACTGATTTTCTTGTTGTAATGCTCAGCATAAAAGGCAGAAACTGTTGGAGAAAAAAAATAGAAAAAGAAATAAAATGATTCAAGAGACAGCTCTTTCGTCCATCTGACTCGATCCCGTCTGGGTTCTTGGTTCTTACTTGGTGGATGATGGCATACTTGTTCGGCAACAAATGTTAATTGATCACGTCGACACCATGGAACCGGTCCATCTGAAACGGTAGCCGAATCTTTCTCGAATCCGGGCAAGTCCCAGTGGCATCGGAATACTTCACCCAAAATTGGATTGTATGGCTTTTTAGCGACGGCACTCTTTCGGCCAGCATGATACGAGCTCATGTACCATTTCACCACCTGTACCATTCGTTCGCGTGGATCTTTAAAATCGGCAATTTTCAAGAATAAATCCGGATGCGCAAAATAATCAGCATACATTTCAAGCAATGAACGTCGTTCAAGAATGAATGTTGGAAGAACTACTTTTGTTAGATCCATGCCGATTTTCACCTGGGACAACAAATGCGAAACAACGCTACCGTGCGATTCCATTGAAATATCATTTTCAGCATCATCTTCGTAAAGAGCATCATAATCGAGGCTTCCATCAACACGAAACGGTGTGGTTAGGGAATCACGTGGACTATTTGTGTCGTTCAATGTTTTAATGCTTTTCATATCATCGGATTGTTCATTTATGTCTTCGGCATCTTTTAGGCTTATCGAACTCGAATATGGATTATCGTTTGCATCGTAGAAATCGTCTTCACCCTCTGAGCTTGAGTAGCTGGTTTCGGGCACGGCCAATGTGATTGATGACGGTGATACGTCAATACCTGCAAGTTTCGCATTCGCTAATTTCTTTTCTAAACACTCGGATCCAAACTCAACTAAACCGCTTGGCAACGATGACGGACCGACAATATCGTGCACATCTGCACTGTCTGGCGTTACACTGCTGAGCACTTTCTGGGCATTTGAACTTGCCAACAACGGCGGTCCTTGATACATACCGTTCACCGGATGAGCCGTATTCTTTGCGATTTGCAACAAAACTATTGAATGTTTGAAACTTTCGAGCATTGAATGCGCATTTTCCTGTAGCACCTTGTTTGGATCCTTTGTCTCCTTGGTAGTATTGCTTTCTTTAGTGGTATCGACACTCTTTGCTTCGACATCACCACACTCGGCCGACTCACTGACTGGTTGTGGTGCTGCAACAGTAGCAACAGCGGCGGCGGCAGCGGATGTGGCCGCTGCTTTCAGTTTATTCTCAATTTTTGTGGTTTGATCGATCATTAGTTGCAGATATGCATCGGCTTCACTGATTCGCTTGTCAAGCGTTTGCAAATAATTCGGTCGTTTCGTTGAATCAGCAGACGATCCGAATCCACCATATGTTGAACCACTTTGATCCGATGACCAAATTCCGCGGCTCCGGTTTGCATGCCGTAATATTGTATCCTCGAGACGTCGTACCCATTTTTCACGTTCTTCACCGTCTTTCGCTTGGAAGTGGAATGTTTTATGGTCAACGGTAATGGTGAATGTGTTGCAATCTTGATCGTCAATACCGATAACAGCTCCTTTCAATCGCACACAACCGCGACGTACACCTTTCATCATTTTTTCCTTTGACGTGTAATACGACAGCAAACCGGAGTTTTCTTCCAGAACAAACCATCGGAATTGCCATCCTTTCATTACATTCGTCCACTTGCTCAAAGGTCCTTCTAACAGCACCATTTTTTTTTTGTTGATCAATTTTTTCTAATCTTTTTCAATGTGTTTTAATTTTGTTTTTTTTTTGCTTCTCTCGTTTTTTTCTTTATTTGCCACAGCGAAGCGAAAAAAAACACACACAAATTTATTTACGTCGCTAAGTCACGCAAACGACTACGACCAACCGAACTTATAAACGAAATAAAATATGCAAATGTAGAACGAACGAAGAAAAAATAATGGAAAAAATCAAAAATTAAAGAAAAAACGACAAAAAATGAATTTGGTTGCACATGTAATGGTCACTGCAGCACTCTACACGTAAACACATTTCATCGTATTTCAATGTTGTCGTTGTCGAACATCAGTTTTTTTTTCTCTATTTCTTACTTTTGACACATGAATATGTTGAGCTAAGCACTAAATTTTTTTGTGTTCAGCTTCTTGTCAAAACCACATACGAAAAAAAAATACTTATCGACTTTGATTCGGGGAACGAAATCTTGACATTAAATCACCACAACACTATTATTGTCGTCGTCGCCTTTTACGAAAAGTTATAAACTATGCGCTTCGATTCGTAATTTATTGTTTTGTCGCACTTTTTCTATGGCTTTATGATTTGTCATTTATATATGCACAATATTATATATTATATATATATATGTATATATAAATCAGAAGTAGACGACGAGAGAAAAAAAACACTTTAATTACTGATTGCTGTGTGTCTGATGATTTGCGCTGACTTTTAAGCAAACTCTGTTATTGGTCTCTTTCTTTTGCATGAGGTTTTTTATTGTGTGACCACTGCTACAGCTGTACTTTACAGTCAGTCGATGCTTACACTTCTCTAGCCACTATATGGTGTTGATATCTGTATAGTGTCAACGAGTAGGTATTTCAATGATGACATAAATAAAAATAATATTCTCTAATGTGTGTCTCAATGCCGACGGCAGCCAGTTAAATACATCCAATAATTTTCACTACAACAAGAGCACAAACACAATCACAGCATCAGCTGCCACTTGTCTTTATTATTTCTCTATTTTTTCTCTGTCTCTACTTCTTTCTTAATTGTGAAAAGAATCAAATAAATGCAATGCTGATATTCAAATTGAAATGAACGATTCCGAAGTTAATACTAATCCACTATGTGAGTTTGTTTTTTTCTTTCTTCCTACAATGCTCTCTACTCTGCATTTAGTTTTATCCTCGGCAATTGATTTACGCAATTCGCAGTTTTGCTGATGTCTCAGCGCAACACATTTATGCGAGACAGACTGAGTAAGTGAGAGAAAAATGGTTTCCGTAAGGAAATTCATACATCTGACAGTTCGAACCATTCATTTGACAGATGGCCACATGAATTTGTAGTTGTCAAAGTCACAGTTTGCAAACAGTGGTAAATGCTCAAGCGAAGCATTTTTTTTTCCTCCAAACTTTCTTCGTCGAGTGCGGGGGACAGCAAGAATATTTTTTGTTTGTTTTAAATGGAATTTTTCGAGTAAAAATGGAGGACGAAGTAAAATATGAGTTCGTTGGTGTCGAAGCCGAGGATATTTATGAAGTGGTTGATGAAGATGTAGAGTATATAATTTGCGATGACGAAGTCGATTTACATCAAAATGAGCAACTTGAAGGTGGAGATAGGTTTTATTTGTTTTGAATTTCTGCTTTTCAATTTAATTAAACTCTATTCATTTGTAGAAGAGGAACTTTACTTGGACGAAGAAGTAATCGAAGAAGATGAGGAAGAAGTCGAATTGAAAACAACGAAACATCTGACATGTGATATTTGTGATCGTGTATTTGGTAGCGTTGCTGAGCGAAATTCACACATTGAACAGCATTTCAAGACAATCGAATGTCCAAATTGTTCGCGCACTTTTATCGGTGATCGAGCCTATGAGTTTCATATCTCAACGGGCAAATGTAAGGAAGCCGTTGATTTGGATCGTTTTAGATGTAATATGTGCAACGAAAAGGTATTCGATTCCGTCGAAACGCTCAATAGCCATTTGCACACGAAACACAATTGCTTCATCACCGACGAACGCATTGGCTGTGAACTATGCGATCGAACATTTGCCAAACTGAAATACTTACGGAAACATATACGCGAACTCCATGAAAAGGCTACGCCATTCAATTGCAAGGCTTGCGGCAAGAAGTTTAATCGAAAAGCTAATCTTCTCGAACATGAGCTCATTCATCAGGGAAAATACTTGGCAGAGTGTAAGACTTGTGGCAAATCCTACAGAACACCGTCGGCGCTAAAACTGCACGAGCGTACGCATACCGGAGAAAAGCCCTACAAATGTGAGATTTGCAATGAAAAATCGTATGCCTACAATACGGATCTGAAGAGACACAAACGATCCGTTCATGGCGTTGTTGGCACACCATACCCATGTACACTCTGCACCAAAATCTACTACGAACCCAAACTTCTGAGAAACCACACACTTCGAGCACATAAAGATAACAGTAAATAAAGTTCAGATGTAGTAAATACTTTATATAAAGAAATGAATAAGAAATCAAATTAGCGCCTATGAATAGTTGTAAAAATTTGAAATAAAAAAAAATCGTCATTTTGAACATGTAAAAAGCAAAAATGTTTGCATTTATCAATTTGAATCATTGAGAAGAGTTTTTTATTTTTTAAACAAGAATTTCAAAACATATTCTCGACTGAGTCTGTGGCATATTCAAATATCTTGTGTCTCCGTAGGGGACAATCTCTGGATGAATGACACACAATAAAGGCAGTTTTGACAGTTCTCGTTCAGTCGTACTGTCACACATTCATCTAGTTTACAGCTCGTTTCGAAAACAATAAACAATGAAAGACTGTATCCAGATTTTTGTATACATTCAACAGCCAATCATCATTTGATTATTCAATCTTGCGTTATTTATTCATCAATTTATGCAATTGTCAACATTGGTTCATTCGAAAGTGAGCCCCGTTTACGTTGACTTTGCAAAAATACAAAGATAACCGGACATTTATTTACCAAATGCAAAGATATCTTTGATTTTATTCAAATCATTATCGACTTACATTCTTTGTCATGTTTGTCATTTGGGTAGATTAAAATACGGTAAGTTTTCGTCGCATACAGCAAAATTAACTCTTTTTCAAACACCAGCAGAGCAAGTCACAGACCAAAGAGATTGTAAATTGTTTTATTTCTCCATAAAAATCAACATCTTTTGTATTCAAGGACGGCTTCATAACGCAAATTTAAGCCGCTTGAGCTGACATTTGACGTTCTATTCAATTTTCATCATAAAAATAAAATAAAGAAATCGGTATATGCTATTCCGTCTATTCGGTTCCTTCGATTCATTTTAAATTTCGTATATAAAACTTACAAACAAACATTAACATAACCTCAATTATTCTGTTTCTGCATTGAGAAAATCCATGAAAACCAACTTCACGTCAATAAATGCAATTGAGTTTTGTTTACGGATTGAGAGTATGCACGAAACGAAGTGTCAACATTGACATAACAAACAACTGAGTGAATTTGCTAAAACAATACCCATTGCAAAAATGCATTGTATTAAGATTTAAATGACGATTTCAAAGCCATAAAATGACTTCGATGGATAATTTAATCGCTCCGCAATTTGCGGCCATCAAACAAGGTAAGTATAAATGAAAAACAAAGACAAACTATAATTTCGTTAACTCAATGTGTGAATTTTGTTGCAGATAATGTAATAGGCGATTGGTTCCATTGCCAATTTTGCCCAATGAGTTTTGGCATGTACGACGAGTATAAAGCGCATACCTTTGGCCACTTTAGCACACAAACATGTACCGGTTGTAATGTGCGTCTCATCCAAATCTGTGACAAATGGTTCGAAGTGCATACAGTGGCCAATTGTCAAAACAACCATCATGTCCATACATTCAACACGAACAACGCAGGCCACAATGATAACGGTGAGATTATGGTTATCAAGCAAGAGCCACCAGCCGAAATGGAGGCAGCACAACTCGATGAGCTTCTCAATGTCAAACCCGATGTTGATTTGGATGATTTCGGTGAAATTTTTGCGGCAAACTTAAATACGATTGAAATGAGTGAAAATAATGGCGGCTTCGACACAACTCAACAACATCAAAATTCAAACGATATCTCACAGCTCAACTACCAAGTTGTCAGCATTACTGTAAAGGAGAAACATGAAAATAAACGTACCAAAGGCTTTCAGTGTCGGTTTTGCGATAAAGTCGTATTATCTCGTTTCCGATTGGACTCACACATTCAGAGCCACCATATGGATAATAAAACGAGCTGTAAACATTGTGGCCGAAACTTTACATCATTTCAACGATTGGATAATCACGTGAAGCGATGTACATCAAACAATAAAAAACGACCTTACTTGCGAAGTCATCCACATCGTCCGACGGAGAATTTTACATGCGATTTATGCGGCAGCGTTCTGAAAAAATTTCGCACACTTTTCGATCATATGAATGAAGTGCATAGTTCGAAGTTCACTTTTAAATGCCGTATATGCCAACGAAAGTATCCCAGCCGCTATTATTTAACCAAGCATTTGAACAGACATAAGCAGGCCTTTGAAAATCGTCTAGCCAACGATGCATCGAATGTTGGTGATTTGGACGAGCATTTGATGGAGCGACGAAAATATGCGCGAATCCATCCACATCGACCGGCCGTTGATTTTACATGTAATTTGAATTAAAATTAGAAGAAAATTTCAATAAATTATCCAATCAAAATCAATTTTACAGGTGATATCTGTGGAAAGGCAATATCACGGTTTGACATGCTCGAGGAACACATGAGCATAAGTCATTCGGCACGAGACAGTTTTCAATGTAATATATGCCTCCGTACCTATCCCAACCGTTACTTTTTGCAGAAGCACAAAGCACGTCACAAGAATGCTGCTGCAAACGGTATTGAGATGCTGGAAGAGGATTTAGATAAAGGCCTGATGGAAAGAAACAAATATCACCGACTTGCGCCGGGCGAGAGACGATCTGATCTGACCTGTGATGAGTGTGGACGGGAATTTAAACATCATTACCTTTTGATGGAGCACAAAACTTCAAAGCATTCCGGCGAAAGTGTTTTCGAATGCAGAAAGTGTGGACGTTTTTATCCAAACAGGTTGGTTTTTTCCAAAAATTACTTCGAATAATTTAGAAAGTTTATTTATTCTGATTGATGCTTCATTTTCGTTCTACCACAACCACAGATATTATTTGACGAAACATATGAAACGACACGAAGAAGCTGAGAAATGTGGCATTCCAGAAGATCAACTGCCCCAAGATTTGGACGTGGGCCTAATGGAGAGAGCGAAATATGTGCGCGCCGATCGAAATGAGCGGAAAACAGTGTTCGATTGCGATGAATGCAGTAGAAGTTTCAATAAATTCTGCCTTTTGACAGAGCACAAACGATCAAGGCATGGATATGGTCTATCTTGTCGTAAGTGCAATCGTTCCTTTGCCAGTCGAAAAAAATTTGCCAAACACATGAAACGACATGACCAAGAAATTTCGGCTGAGAACGATAGAAATCCAATTGAACATGAGCCATACGTTCATACTAACGTATATGCATATCAACCGAAGCCCGAATACGTTTGTAATTCTTGTGGCCTGAAGTATAATACACACGAGCTTCTGAAGCTGCACATGGCATCAAATCATTCGAATCATCTAAACACGGCCAATTTGGAAATCATTGAAATACAACACAATCTGAGTATAAAACCAGAATCGCACGAGAAAGTGGAAGAGGAAATAGAAGAGGGAGTAGAAGAGATAGTGAAAGAGGAGGAGAAAATTGAAAAAGAAGAAGAAGAAAGAGGACGTGAAAAAAATGGTGCCAGGAGAAGAAAAATGGAAAAGCAAAATAGAAAAGAAAAGGAACAACACGACAATTCGGATGAAGACCTCGTCCAAAGGGAATACTTGCGCGCGCATCCACATCGTCCCGCATCGAATTTTACATGTGAAATTTGTCAAAAAGTCCTATCCACCTACTATTCAATCAAATTGCACATGCGTTCAAGACACACACGAAAAGTTCGAGTGAAGCACCCATGTCCAAAATGTAACAAAGAATTCGTGTCGAAGATACGCTTAGAAAAGCACCGAATTTCAAAGCATCCCAATGTTCCAGATGCTCCACTAGATGCGCCAGCAGAAGCTTCCAAGTCGAAAGGTGTTGAAAGCAAACAAATGTGTAGCATCTGCGGCCGTCTGTTCCCGGATAAATCGAAAATGATTGCACACGAGAAAACGCATCTGGGCATAATGACATCATGTAATATTTGTGGCAAAAAATTCATGCACAAAACTTACCTTCGGAAACATATTATGGGCGTGCATACCAATGAACGACCGTTTGCCTGTGGAATTGACGGATGCGAATGGCGATTCTCTTATCAGCCATGTCTGAAGCGACATCAAGCACGTCGACATGGCTTGGTCAACAATCCAAATCAATGTCCGATTTGTGGAAAATGCTTTCCAGATAGTACCTACCATCTCAAGAGGCATCTCAAAGCCCATGCAAATAACACGGCCAAAGAATATTTCCCCGAACCAACACAAGATCCATCACAACCAACAAACTAAATGTAAAGTATCATGTTTAGCTACGATTCATTTGGATGTGTTGTATCAAGCTAATTAAAATATATTTGTGGCTGGAATTTATCGATTGATAGGGAGACCAAATTAAGAAACACATTTTTAGTAGTAATCTTTATTTCATGACAAATATGCATTATTATTAATCCATAAAATGCATCCCATTTAAATTCATTCATCCACTTATTTTGTCTGAATAAAATTAAGTAATCAAAATAAATGAAATCAAAAATTGGATATTTCAATTTTGCAGTTTGAATAATTGTTCACTCAATCAACTCAAATCGTGCCAATTTCGTGAGTAAAAACTCAAAGTTGACATTTGGCTCAAATCTCGTTTAAACGTCAAACAAACAACTGTCAAAGTCGAGTATATCAAGTCGAATAAATACAAAAACCAGAGGTGATTTCTATTGAATGGGGAAAAACCAATTGAAAACAGTATGGAAACGATGTCTTACTTTCATCAATCATTCGGAGCCAAATCATGTAATATTCAATTGTGCATTTTCACATTAAACAATAGTTATGATTGAGAATTTTTCAATTTTAGCCATTCGCTTCGAGTGCGATTATTGTGCGGAAAAATTTGCATCACGAGCTGCCCGCATCAATCACACACTCACCCATTTCCAGAACAAAAATTGCTTCACTTGTAATAAAATGATGATTTGCATCAGTGGTGACTGGTACGCATTGCATGCTTCGGCCGAATGCGATAAGGAAAACATTGATACACCCAATGTCATTGATGTTGACGTCAAAACGGAAGCAATCGATTACACACAAGAGGATGCAGTGAGCCTTAAATCAGAAGCCAACGAATATGCATGCTCGGCATACTCGGATGACACCAGAGAAGACAATATATTCGAACAGTCGCCAGTTCATTTCCAAAGTCACATTGAAGTGAGTTCATTGCCAGAAATTGTGATACCGCCGGTTGTAAAACAGAAAGAAGTAAAACAGGAGCCAATGCATGCAGTGACACGGAAGCCACGAATAGTCTCAAAACCAATCAGCAAAATTGAGACTCCTACAGAGAGCACAAATGAAACAGACATCAAACCGGCGCGACGACAGCGAAAAAAGGTGATATACAAAGCAACGTTCCTCGATCATCGACCGAAAGCATCGTGTATCTGTGATGTGTGCAATAAAACCTTGGGAACATTTTCATCGCTTCGAAATCATATACTCAACATGCATTGCGAAAGCGAACGGAGTGAACGAGTGTCGTGTGATGAATGTGGCCAAACTTTTTCAACGCCAGGCAATCTGAATTCACACAAAAAGATTCATTTGAAATGCAAGGCGTATGTTTGCACGTAAGCCAGCCAACTTGAGTTCGACTGTTTAAACTTTTTCAATTTGATTTGTAATTTTGTATTCAGGTATTGTGGCCGGGGTTTTAATCAGCTGCACAATCTTAAAGAGCATCAAAATCGCCATACTGGAGAGAAACCCTACAAATGTGAACGATGTGGGAAAACATTCGGCCGAAAGACAAATCTCACAGCACACACACGAGTACATACCGGGGCAAAGCCATTCAAGGTAAAACTGGAAGATTCCACGTTTGAAAGCATGTCATTCTATATTTTCACGTGTAATTTATTATTTCAAGTGCAATATCGAAGGATGTGATCGTGCTTACATGTTTGAGATCGATTTGAAACGGCATAAGTACAGCATACACGGGATTTTCACCAAGAAACATATTTGTCCAATTTGTTCAAAGGTTTATCCTGAAAATAAGCTTTTAAAAAAACACCTCGACTCTCATTCGACAGGCAATATTGGATAGGTAGCATCTGAAGTTTAACAAAAACACTTGGAATCACATTCGGCGGGAGTAATTACCTAATTTTGCTTAGTTCCACCAAGTTGATTTACAAGCAGGACAGTATTGATTGATATCGTGGACATCTGGAGCATTGAGTACACTGTGTTTGATACTAAGCTGAATATTTCTGTGGTTCAACCATTGCATATTATTTTAACCATTTGTTCCATTTCTTTCCACTAATTTTAATAAATAAGATAAGAAGCGGAGAATGTTGTTTTTTATTTGCAATATCAACTTTGTTACTTCCAATCAACATGCCCATCGCTCTGGTAGAGAGTCTCTTCTGTGAGCACAGTCTCAGTGAGAAAGGATTTGACACAATTTGTAATGTCAAATGAGCGAATGTCTAATAATTGAAGAGCAATAATAAGGTAAAACCAGAATATTCAAACTCAACGTTTGAAATCATTCTTTATCCTTTATTCTCTATTAGCACATAATTGTACAATTTCCACTTTCCAGCACGTAACCGGAAAAATAAATATTCATCTTGTTGTCTTCGTGCAGAAGACTTCTTCGCTTTTTATTTTGACAAAATATTGAATTATCTTACGATGGCGATAAAAAAAAACTCAAAAAAATATTTTTGATGGTGCCTAGCGTGTAAACAGCTAGAAAAATGAAAATTACATATAAATTTAATTCCTGAATAAAATTCATCCTCAAAAATGCTCAAGTGAATAAATTTATTTAAATTTGCTTTTGAACTTTGTGTTAAAAATGCAACGAGGAGTTCCCGTCCCGAATCAGAATAAATCCAATTTGAATATGTTATCACGTTTTCGCAGTGCATATAAAATGAAGGGGCTTGTCTGTATTTAACACATAAAGTACGCGGAAAGCTCGACTCCTTCTCTTCACTCATGTGTATTATTGTAATTCTCATCGAGTTTGACTCATTTGTGTGACTGGCTTATAGTTTCACTCAATCGGATCGGTTTGTGTTCAATGAACTCGCAATGGCGAGTGAGACTTTGTCGCCTGCCATATAGACGATTGCTATAAATTTCTCTTATTTTTAATTTATAAGAAAGTTTCCGCATGCATTGAAGCGTGTCCGTGTGAGCAGCGGATGGTATATGGTTGTTTCATGTGTTGCGTTGCTCTATAAGGATATGCCGCTTTGTTTATCATCGATTGGTGTTTGTTGTGCAGCAGACATGCTTGCGCTTCATCGTCGCATTGGCTCACTGTTGACTGATTCATTCAACGGGATAGAACGTATCGATGTAGCGTTGCTGCAACAGCAATAGCGGCCTAAGTTGTGCCTGTGCATGCGACAGACATCGACTCGATGCGTAGTGATAGTGGTTCTCATTCGCCTGCTGAGATTAGTCGTGAACAGTTGTGATGATTGAGTGTTCGTGTTTCGATAAAGGATTTTAATGGTGAATTTTGAACAGTATATACGCGCTGAAGTCTGACTATTGTTCGGCGTCGAATAAAAAGCAAATGCGAAAAATTAAAGGATTAGTCATTTGTGTGCTCATCTGTTTGTGTTTTTCATGTGAATAATGGTGATTTAATGCAGTGCAAAAAAAAACTCATTCTGGAAACAATTATTGAGGAAAAAAATAAAAATTTTGCAGTAAATTCGTCAAATAAAAACGCTACTTTTAAAATTGTATGTAATTCAATGGTTTAGTACATTGGCTACACTTTTCGACATCGATTGTCGGCCAATAAATACAGACATAGCATAAGTTAGTATATCAAACTGAACGAACAGTGTCCGTATCGAAGTGAACCGATCCGCTGAACTCTCTGTTGAACCGAAATAGTGTGAAAAAGATTTGGTTTTGGTAGTTTATGCAATTTGTGAAATGCAACAAACCGAAATCGAATCCAAATAAATAACCAACGTTGACATCGCTTGAATTATTCATTTGGTAAATGTGAGCTGGTTTCGTGCTCATTTGACTGCATCATTGACTGTTGCAACTTAATTTAACTGCTGAAGGTTTTGCTTTGAGCACCGAGAACGACACTTGAATAACGTGAGCGCGCATTGTGTGTGTTTGAACAGCAACAGCAGCAGCAGCAGCCGCAGCATTGAACTGAAGAAGAAGACTGATGCTATTGCTGGATACTTTGTGTTAATTTATGGCCATAGCGCGTTGGAAAAACGGCAACGCGAATTAATTATCAAGCAATGCGGGTAAGTTCAAGCACTTGCATTAATTGCCTTTTTAATTTAATTTTCATCTCTTCTTCCTCTTCATTACATTTGTTTTGTTCGCCGTTCGTCTTTCATTGAACGGAAATTTTTCTCCATCCCAAAATTTGAAGTATAAAAATTAATAAATGTAAATAAGCTGTGAACGCTTAATTATGCTCCGAAAATGTTAATGCTAATGGAGTCGATGAAATGGAAACACACTGTTTCCCTGGCATACGTCAATATTTAATACCCATCGAAAGCAAACATGATCGAATTTGTCAAGGCAAATATCGAAATAAGGATTATTTTGCTTTGAACGCGCACACGTAAAGCCAACGAATCGTCATTGTGCTTCGATGAGTGCTATCTTCAGTCTTACTTAGGCTTAGGCACAATATAATTTTGGGGTGGAATTATTTGTCAGCTCAAGACATGCTTTTCAAATCAATTATGTATGCAATAAAACCGATACACTCTTATCTTATCGATTCCGCCGACGAAAACGACGACGAAGAATAATCATAATAGTAGCACATAGTTTGTTGCTTCGGTTACGAACACGCGTTCTTCAAGATCCAAATGTCACGATTAAAGAAATTTATTCGTTGCTGCGTTGGTTGTGGCATGTTTTATTGATATCGAAGTGATAGAGTTCAATAAAACGTTTCATCCCATTGATAGGTTATTTCCTCTTTTGCCCGCTCGACGGTTGCCACACTTCAAATTTAATTATATGTATCAAGAGTGTACGACTTGTCGATACATCTGGGATGTGCTGCTACTCAAAAAAGGATAGGCGCAATAAAAACCATCCACTTCGTAGCCGGAATACTTGTGTAAATACAGTTGAATAATTTCTTCCGTCGTTGATGTTTGATCTGATTCAACATACCTGAATATGTTTGCGAGTGTATCGAGATGATATTGTGTGTATCCGGCTTTGTTTACAGTTTTATCTTGGTTAAACCACACAACCATATACTTATACAAACACACACACGCACATACTTTTCGCCATATGAATTCTATATTCCACAAATCCAGACTCGCTCACTGCCAACATAATAATTAAATTAATATATAAATCTGCAAAATGATGGTTTAAATAGCGGTCGACTTCGCTTCAAATTGTTTACTCGAGCTGTCTTAGTGCTTCTGGTGTGTTCAGCGGTAATCTCCAATTTATTGTTTGCGATAAACCGTTGGAAAATCTAATTTTAGACTTTTTCATCTCCCGCTCACTCACACACTGTCTCTGTCCCATCAAAGCTTCTTCAATCCGCTTTACTGTTGGAATGTATAACTTTCAGTCTCATCGTCACTCCCGCCCCTCATTTCATTCCGTTGTCTATCGTCAGTTTTTTGCCATATTTTTTCATTATTGCGCATCTTAAGTAATATTTACTTGTTTTCGCTTTTTCTTTCCAATTTCTCTGTGGGTGTGTGTTTGTGTGTGTGAGTGTGTGCAACTGAACGCGCTTGAAAATTAGATCAATTTATTTTCCCATTTTGTGTTCTGTGAACGTTTGCAAAAAGCGAATTGTCACGGGGATACCCATAGGACATATTTTTGTGGCGCAAAATTATCTCAAAACAAAATACATGTACAATCAACAACAGCAACGACAGTGGCAGTAGTCACTAAGTCAGACGATGAATCATCGCATCCTTATCTATTTGTTGTGAAAATAGCAGGAAAAAATGGCACGGGAAGAGCGACGGCGAATGTGAAGCGACGGCGAATGTGAAGCGACGGCGAATGTGAAGCGA